GAGTTTGTGTCCAATGATTATCGTTGATATATTTATTGATGTGAGAAGACAACAGATCTGAATAATTATGATTTATTATATTTCAAGGAATTATTTCTGTAGTACGAAATACAATAAAAGTCGTAGCAAAGCACCTCCATGTCTAATTGTTTTCGTTGGAGATATTGATTCAATATATAATAAATACTAAAATTGTTGTGTATACTATTGAGAATAAACATCGACTACTTGCATGTATCCATGGGAAAAAAAACTTCTAATTGATTGAATATATTGAATGAAAACAGTATCATTGTCAATAGGAGCTAACTTCTGATGGTAGATCTCCGTCATGTTGTATATTACGCTTTAAAAAATCAAATATCATACGATATAATTCATGTATTTAACAAGCAATCAAAGTGTTCAAGAAATAGTTCTTTTTTATGAGAAATATTTCAATCGGGAGTGTGAGGCATTATGAAACAACACAACTAAAAATATAATAAAAAAATAAATTTGCAACATGAACTTTTTCAATACATATAATGTCTCGTCTTTTTTAAAGTAAAAAATAATGAAATAAACAGAATATTGTACGGTGGATTCGATACGGATACCAGCACATGAACTGAATAATGTTGTGATAATATCGAAATAAAAATGGCAATTACTCGCCTAAAAACAACTGATTCCAACGAAAATTTATAAGATCAAACTAAACCCGGAATGTCTGACAGACAACAGAACTAAGCATATCTTTCTATCTGATGATGTTGTAACGGAAAATATGCGAGTTTGTTCATAAGGATCTAGGTTGGGATAACAGAAAATTGCTTTTAAAAAGGGAGAATAATTTATTTCATCGATATAAATATGTCTGAAGGATTTTTACCTTATGATGATGTTGCTGATGTATTTTTTCTGGCATTTATTTGTTTACAGTCATTCAGTTCGGAAATATTTTTACTAACTCGAAATAATAATAAAACTGAATTATTGTTTTGTTGTTGTGTCAAAGGTACTCTATACTCGAATATCGAGATTTCGGATGTTATTCTTTTTTGTTCTACTATTTATTTGCTAACACAGCATGTACAAATGTAAGTGAAATCAAATGAACAACAAAGAATTGAATAAATATGTCGTTTCTGTCTTTTCTAATACAGGCACTAGGAATAGGATGTTTCGTGGTTATGAATAATTTTAAGAAATTGATTCTGTTGATTGATATCTATTATATTGTAGATTGTAGTATAAAGTTTTTGAATTGAACTCAAGATGAATACACGATGTGTTTTTTGCTCTGCACATTGTATGGGCGATTTTTGCTTGCGATGCAACGAAATGAATCGTAGCCAAAAATTTGCTAGGTTCCTTCAACTTTTGGAAAAAGCTTCTGAAAGTGTAATGTATTATGATGAAATTGCTTCTACAGTAAAGCGGATTCAAAATGTAAGTTATTTTAGAATTATAATTAGATTATTACGAATGTATTATAGATCGAAGCACTCATGATACCAATTCAATTCAATCCTGATCAAGTGTTCGATGAGAGAAAATATTTGGTAGATGCAGTGGCTAAGACATATCTTAGAAAGGCCACAGATGATGTACAACATCTTATCCCCGTAGAAGTCGTTGCCGATGGAAATTGTTTATATAATTCAATCCTTCTTCTAATGAACAATTCAATGATAACAACAAGTGAATTACGAGGTATATATATTTATATTCTATCTATATTTTCCTGCAATTTGTTTTGAACTAATTTTAGTTCGAACAGTTATTGAACTTGTAGTAAATGGAGCATATTATACCAGAATGTATTCACAATTCATCGGACTTCTAGATATAGCCATCAAAGCTATATGCAAAAATTATACATATTCTGAATTGTACGAAATAGCTGCACTATGCAATATACTTCGATGTAATATACGAAGTATTTATCCAAGAATTGATTTTCGAGAAGATATGGAAATCCTAAATAATAGCTTCAGACCTACTTCACCTATTATTGCCAATTGTAGTATCACAATTTTCTGGTCTCATGCCTTAAACGAGATAGATGTACGAGCGCAAAATAATATGACATGGAGTCCCAATCATTTTGTTCCTCTTATATCTCCACCTGTATATGATGACTCCGATAATATAAGTCGTCAATCAGTGTCAAAAGTTGTGGTAGGTTATCGAACTTAAAATATGAAAATGAGAATTTTAAAATTTATTTGTTTAGACTCCCGGAAAAAGAACTTTCAAGAATAATACTCCCATCCAGATGCGAATTCCTGAATTTCAAGCTTCACCCAGCCAACGTCGACGCAATGAACACAGCAACGAAACTAGTTTCGCTCAATCAACTACCACAGATGCAATACGAGAAGCACAGAATGAGATCCAAGCACAATACCAAAGTGTCGTGGAACAACAAATAAAACCAAGTCAAGAGAATCCAGTGAATGAAACAATGGAGCATCGTCGAATGCAACTGGAAACGCAAAAGCAGCGAAATCAAAGGAATAGATCAAATGAAACAGCTGAAGAGCGGCACACTCGATTGGAAAAGCAAAAACAACGGGATCAATGGAACAGATCGAACGAAACAGCTGAAGAGCGTCAAATTCGATTGAAAAAAGTAAAAGAACTGGCTCAATCGAGTCGTATGAACGAAACGGAAGAACAACGTCAGATTCGACTAGAAAAACAAAGAAAGCGAAGTCAAGCAAACAGAGCTAAAAAAATAGCTGAAAAATCTACATCTAATACACTGAATACACAACAACAAAACTTATCCGCTAAACTGAACGAAACTGAACCTATTTCACTATGTGACACTCACGACACTCACCATTTTACAAGCAACGAAGATATCAACAAAAAACACAAAGGTCTATTTCCTCACTTTGGCCAGAATTCATCTCCCGTAACCTGAAAGAAGACTGCCTACAGAAATTTATTCAAAAAATGTCCATGGCAGCATTGTCTGAAGCTACTTGTGCTGTTTGTAATGTTCGTACTCAAACGCAAAAGTAGAAAAAATTACCAGTCTCGAAAATTCCTCACATTGATTTGCTTAAAGTTCCTGACGCGCTCAAAGATTTCATCAAAATCAATCAAACATCTTCAGTACAATACGCTGATGAACATATCGGAATCTCCGAGAATGATAGCGTTATACAAAGGACTAGATCCACTCAAAGTAACCTATGATTGTAATAAATTAGGGATTCATTAAAAAAAAATATAGCTATTTTAGGTACTTCAACTAGTAATTCATCATATGTTCAATATGACAACGGTATTATCTTATATGTGAATGGTTTGTTCCACCAAAATACAGTAGAGATGTGTACAATTTGCCAAAAATGTCACGACTCTCTGTCAAAAGGAAGCACTCCTAAGTTTTCGCCTGCTAATAATATGTGGTTAGGAGACATCCCTCCTGAATTACAAGGATTAACAATTCCAGAAGAAAAGCTAATTTCACTTTATCGTCATAATAGCTGTGTGATAAAACTTCATTCACCATTTCACTCAGCTACAACTGCTCAAGCAGCATTGAAAGGCAATTGTATTACTTTTCTTCAAAGTTTACCGAATATTGTTAACAGTTTACCACTGAAACTTGATGATTTGTGTGATACATTAAAAGTGATTTTTGTTGGTGCACATCGTCCTGAGCGTGTCCATCTTAAGAAGGTCTTAACAGTTCGCAAGAAAAAAGTCACTCAAGCGTTGCATTGGCTGAAACAAAATAACATACTTTATCAAAACATCGAAATTAATCTTCATAATATTAATCAATTGCCTGAAGATGACGTGCCAGAAGCTATCATGTTAACGATGGAACAGAAGATCGGTGATGAAGAAATTCCACCTGAAAGAGTCGGATATGCTCCTGATCCATTAGATGATCCGACTGAATCCAGAAATTCAGACACTATCCCTATCAGCAATAGGTAAGATCTACCACCAAATAAGTCATTTTTAAAGTCATTTTTCTCTGTAGTGGTGTTCTCGACGTGAATGGATCCACTGTAACTTCAGACGAAATAAAAAATTATGTTTTACGCAAAATCAAAAATGATAAAGCAACCGAACAGATGGATATCGAAAGTATTTACGTAATTCCTCATTCATCGAAACCTGTTAATGAATATTTTAATCCAAAACTACTAATAGGGCTGTATCCAACTCTATTCTGTTATGGATATGTATCGCCCGAAGATAAATCACGTCCAGTTGAAATAAAATTACGAGAACACATACGTTACCTGTTATCATATGACGATCGACGCTTTGAAACAAGTCATAGTTTTATATTTGTAGTTTTTAATCTTTTGCAACGACGTGATGCTTGTTTTCATGCTCAACTGATAGCCACGAAACCTTACTTTCAAGCATCTGCTCAGGAAATTCAGTCATTAAACAGTAACGATATTGAAATGGCTCTCAACAAAAGTCAAAACAATACGTTTAGCTCGACATCCAATGCATCATTACATAAACTACTCAATCATATTAAGACCATCGGTGGCCGAGTTATGGGCTCAACGTATTCAAGAACAGCTTTGCGCACTCGTATTCATGCACTAATATATAATCAAGGTCTACCAAGCATTTTTCTAACTTTGAATCCAGCTGATATTCACAGTCCTGTGGCACTTTATTTTGCCGGTGTCAAGCTTGATTTAGACAACATTCAAATTGAGCAACTAATGACTACTTATAAAAGAGCTGAAATTATTGCTTCACATCCTGTGGCTACTGCCAAGTTTTTCCATTTATTGATCACTAACATATTAGATACTATGATAGTTGGTGGTGTTCTTGGACCTGTAAAAGCTTACTTTGGTACTGTTGAAAATCAAGGACGTGGCTCTCTTCATTTACACCTTCTTATTTGGCTCGATCATGATTTTAAGCCATCTGATTTGAAAGAGAAAATTCAAAATGTTGATTTCCGCGAAAAGTTAAAAGAATATTTAGAAGATATTATCAAAGAAGACTTAGATAAATTCAAAGGCAACCGTACCTTTGCAAATCCAGATAGTATAACAAGTTTTAATCCTTTTCACACGTAATCTATTCTTTTTTATTTTAGTATTAGGAGTGTGCGTTACTCCCTCAAGATTATCACACGATGACATATATTCAGCTTTAAAAACAATCGATCTCTCAGGATTGGAGCAAGACACAAGTAATTTCGGCAATATTCGATCAACACCGATGAAGGGACAATCTTATTCATCGATTAGTTTTGCTACACCATCGCCGAAGCAGTATTCAGAAACAACGTTGCATGCTCAACAGAATCATGGTATGTGTATAGTGCTCATAAAAACAAGCAAAGCATAGATTTATTTTTTTAGCAACGAATGCTTTACGTAATGTATCAAAAATAATTCCTGCTTGCTTACCTACTCCAAATCCATCATCACCTAATTTTGCTTCAAGATTTCGTGCAGATATAGTACAGCTTGTCGAAACAAGTAATATTCACAAACACAGTGATACGTGCTACAAATACTGGAATGCCAATCGAGGTGATAAAAAAACGTGCCGAATGCGTATGCCGCGTAAATTAGTATCCAATTCAACAATTGATCCTGCTACTGGGAATATTTGTATGCGACGATCCGATCCTTGGATCAATAATTTTAATGAATACCTCATCACAGCTTGTCGTTCAAATATGGACATTAAATTTATTTGGAGTGGTAGCGATGCAAAGGCTCTTGTTTATTATATTACTGATTATGTGACAAAAACGAGTCTCTCGTTTCATGATACATTTTCTTTGGTACAAAAAAGCATCACATCACTCCAGAGTTTAAGGAATCAAACTAATAACGAAAGCGCAATCGAGAAGTCTCGTAAACTCGTTCTGCGCTGTTATAATATGCTTGCTTCTCAACAAGAATTATCTGGCGTTCAAGTAGCTTCTTATCTTATGAATTGGGACGATCACTATACAACGCATAGATTCCAAGGTCTCTTTTTAATTCAAACTGAACGATTTTTACAAACACAACTAAATGAAACGCGTGCTCAACAAAAATTGGAAACTGCAGCACAGGGTGAGTATATTAATCTCTGCTTTGGTGTTTTAAAAATATGTATCCTTGATCAAAGTAGATCAGAAAGGTTTCTGTGTGAAAGTACCAAGGATAAACGAATAACTATATTTAGTTATTAGTTGTCTAAAATGTATAAAATATTTCATAAGAGACGTTTCCCTAAATTGAATCGTTCACTGCTTTTTCGATGAGAATCTTTTAGATAGTCCACTTCATTCTTTTTTTGTGATAAGCAGTTGACACACTGTTTCTTTTCAAGTAGAATTCAAGGGCTAGTATAAAGAGAAAAGTATATCAGATCAAGTATACGAAAAGAAATCTTCTAAATATTAGGTTAAATATTTGCGGGAAAGAAGCAAACGCAAAGATCGACTATAAATTACAGTATTATAAAATTATTTATGACTGAGTTTTTTTTTATTATATTTAGATGTGATCGACAATGATACATATGATGATGAAGCTATTGATAATGATAACAACGACGAGGAACAGTTTCAAATTCAATCAACTGAGCATGACAAAAAATATGTACTCGTTAACACACGAATTGATTATCAGTATCGCTCCGATAATCTCAATAGAATGTGTTTATATGACTTTGTTAGCATATTCTATAAGAAAAAAATGAATTCTACAGATCTGAAATATTTATCCAAGATAGCTGTATCAATAGAAGAAAAAATTAACCGAAAAGGTCGACCACCTAATGAACGATTTCTTTTTCAAAAGCAGCATCCTCAGGCTACAACCTATTTAATGATGAAGTACAGCGAATCTCATGTGCCTGTTCTCTATGGTCCTCAGATCCCTCGACAAGATCGTGATGATACTCGAGAACGATATTGTCGGGCTATTCTCACACTTTTCGTACCCTGGCGTACTGTGACTGATATTTGTGACATCGGTCAGACATGGGAAGATGCATTTAAATCTCGACAACATCTTATTTTGAGACATTCATGGACGATAATAGAAAACATTCAACTTTTGCATGAATGCAAAAAGGACCGCGATGATCATTTACTTCAAGTTATCGCCGAAGCACAAACCGATAATAGCTTAGTCGATCCTGTACTAATACCGACTAATCAAGTCGATGGTGAATATGGCACTGATGACAGTGACGATTTACTTGAATTATTAGGTAATTTGGATGAAAACACAGTTGCCATGCTCAATGCTACAAAAAACTCAACAGAAAACAGATATATTGAAGAAACAATCGAAGCAGTCAAGAACGTCGGACGATTTAACAGTGTGAACAGTAAGTATTATTTGAATGTGATCTTTAGAATCGACAATAATCGTACAAAATTTGTTGTAGCATATGACCAATATTCTTTAAATGAACCGAGCGATCGTATCGATCAATCATTGGTACCATTTATTTCTGCAACACCTAATCTTGTTCGACTCAATGCAAAATGGCAAGAACAACTGAAAACTGAGAAAGAACAGATTAGAAGAGGTTTGATTACGGGCAACTTTGACAAAGACGATGATGGTATGTTGAACTTGGATGCTGCAAGAAGTGCCGTTGCCACTGTAGTGACTCTAAACAATATGAATATTAATACGAAGATATGCGAAAACTATGGTTCGATTCCTGCAGTAATATTAGTCAAAGCGAACTCTTGTACTCAGAAGAGTGTTGCCGATGAATTTACACTGAACAGAGAACAACGGGCTGCATTTATGATCATAACAGGTCATCTTGATGGTGATAGCCGCTGTCGTACAGGTAATCTTTATAATAGAAGTCATCACATATTGAAGTACATAATATTTTCAGGTGACAATAATGGTCAGCTTATAATGTGCATACCTGGATGTGGTGGTACAGGCAAATCACAATTGATTCGTGCTCTTACCAAATACTTTTTAGTTACAAAGAGAATACAAATGATGCGGAAGTTAGCACCTACTGGTATTGCCGCTGCTGAAATCGATGGTATGACCATCCATTCGTTTTTGGGTGAACAGCGTAACTCAGGAAAGGCACGTACAATTAAACCAGGAGATTTAAAACTCGAGAAGGAATGGGCCCTCGTTGAATACCTCTTAATTGATGAAATAAGTATGGTTGGTTTAACTCTACTTGCGAAACTCAACCGAATTATATGTGCTGCAAAACATACCGATCCTCAAGTTCCATTTGGTGGTGTAAATGTCATCTTCTTCGGCGATTATTTACAATATCGACCTGTATATGATGTACCTCTACATACAGATTTCACTTTACCGGTTAAAAGTAAATCAAACAAGATAGCAACTGAAAAACAAATTCAACAACGTGTTGCACGTTCTTTAATTCTTCAAATCAATTGTGTGGTCAAACTTACTCAACAGATGAGAACAGAAGATCTACGTTATCTTCAGCTACTCGAACGACTTCGTCATGGAGAATGTAACTACGATGACTACGAATTATTGTTAACACGAGTAGTTGGGCAATCTTCCGTACCCTTGTTAAGTGATTCACCATGGAATAAAGTAAATTTGTTTTTCTAAATTTAGACAATTCACCATCTTCATCTTTTTAGGCTCCGATTCTCGTATTTCGTAACGAAATACGAACACAATTAAACCACAAGGCAGTTAGTCACAAAGCACAACAAACGGGACAAACACCAATAGTATGCGTTGCCCAAGATACCTGCAAAGGCAAACCAATTGAAGACCGAGCACTTATTAAAAAATTATTAGAATTATCTGATAGCAAAACGGAGCATCTACCAGGTCTATTACCTCTTGTTCCTGGAATGCCTGTCATTTTAACGCAAAATATTGCAATTGAATTGGGTCTTATCAACGGTGTGAACGGAATCTTTCGGCAGCTTGTCTACCAGGAAGATTCGGTGTCAACTGATATTATTTCGGAAGAATTTTCCAAGAATGCACGATATGTCCATCGACCTCTGTACGCCTTGGTGGAAATTAGCAAATCAAAGATCGAATGTAATTTAGAACAACTTCAGCCAAAGCTGGTTCCAATACCGGTAATGGAACAAACATTTCGAGTCGATATAGGCGATATGCTTCCAAAAGATAAGAAACCAAAATCAAATAGAAAAACACTGTTATCAATTAAACGGCGCGCATTACCACTTGTACCAGCTTATTGCATTACAACACACAAGAGTCAAGGTCAAACATTGAATAAAGTTGTGATTGATTTAAAACTGCCAAATGAAACCGATGATATTGCTGCAGTCTATGTACCCTTATCGCGGGTAAAACGCTTAACTGATTTGGTTATTTTGCGATATTTTGATTACAAGGTGTTGTTAATTAAACCCAGCAAGTCACAACTGACAGAAATTGAACGACTCGATAAACTATATTTAGAGACCCAAGCACGCTTTCCAGAATGGTTGTAACATCTTTTCTGCTTTGCATGAAAACTGCTCTAGTTTGTGTCAATTTTTATGTATATGATTTTCTTTTCTATATTAGTTACTCTATGATCTATACATTTGACTATACTTTGTTGCTCGTATTGCATGTATTAGCTGTAGTCTCCTTTTTTTTATCGTCATATGAAATGATATGCGAAATATTCAGGTACTACTTTTGTTCTATATATTCATCCCATATTCCTTTTTTTCATTATAAATTTAATATCTTTGTAATTCATGATTAGTTATCGAATTTCACGAATAAACACACTCTGCTACAATACCATCTTATACTTCTAATTAAATCATTTTATGGTACTATGTGACTAGGATGGCCCATAAATTCGACAATGAAATCATGTTTCATCTTAAGTACATTTTTAGCTAATATTTTGGTATACATGTGTTCTGGCTATACATTCGAACTAGCCCTGGAGAACCATATCCACTTCTGATAATTGGAATCAACTTCTTTCAGTTCATTATTTGCCCCATAGAATAATATTTGTCTTGGCAAATGGCTTTATCAACTAACGCTAGTATGAATGGTCGCTGTATCATATTCTGAATAAGTTTGTGTTGACAGACACATTGTTTTCATATTAAAAATCTCAGAGCATTTCAAGATATTGTTGTGACCATCGTGATATGAAAATCAGAATTTTATGATATATATCTTTGTAAGACTTTATCTAATCAAAATGTTAGCGCAACGTATCAATTTTATATCCAGATATTACTATCATTTGAAGCTGCGGACGTTTTGAAAGTCAACTATAACATAATTGTGGTAGAGGAGATTCGGTACTTTGATATTGTTAAAGTTCTTCCGGGTAAGATTGAATAATATATTCTTGCTTTAAACTCTTCAGTCGAGGGTTAAGCGAATCGCACAGCGACGAGCGTTACTTGTATTACTAGATTACGATAATCGAACTATAAATGCTTCATATAACCGAAAATCAATTCGACTCCAGAATTTGAACGAGGAATAAAAAAGATGATTAAAACAGAAAATTGATCAAACGCAATTGATTTATTATAGTAATGGGTTATAATCGTACCTAATTTCAGTGACAAAGCAGCGATCTGAAAATATTTCAAATTCAGAAATAATCAGAAACATGTTCAAAATTTAGAAATTTTCCCTGGTTTTCAGAAGATCTGACCACCCTGCACCACACTCACACACCCTTGCATACTTTCACCATGGTCATGAAATAAGATGATACCTCACATGCAAAAATCACACAAAATCTGTGTTGTATTTGGATGCGGAGAGCGCCAAAGCGTTTGATTATTATGCTAACAGAAAATGATTTCATCACAAGGAACGAGAAACAGTCTTATAGGTATATGCATGTGTGCAAAGAAGACAATTTACAGAGTGAATAAACACAAGCCGATGATTTCTCTGACAGAATCCGGCGGGGGCCCGCCGGTAACATCGTCTTTTTCGGCTGATTCCTACTGAAAAGATTCCCGTAAGATGCAATCAGTATTCCTGTCGGAAACATACCGGAGTATGGGGTTTGGGTGCGTATGCGGGTGTGTGTCGGGGGTCTGGAGTGTGCGTTTCGGTGTGACAACAAATTACAGAAATACCCACACACACACCCCTTTTTTTGAAATTTCCATATTTTCAAAACTCATATTTCGGGAACGGCTTATTCGTTTGAGTTGAAATTTTGGGACTCTCCATAACTTTATGGTATCTACCCACAGTAAAAAGATCACTCAAATCAGTGAAATTCATTGAGCAACGTTCTGTGGCAATTGGTCGTGGCTTACGTGCAATGCCTCTTAGTCGTAAGCCAAGCATAATTACTAGCGCGCCAAAATTTGCACGGAGGATTCTTGCAACTACTTTTTCCAACACCTGACTCATGAAAAACATGAGGATGTACGCCTTATGTTTACTATTACCCTCACACATTTCCACCGGCACGCTTGAATGCTTTGCTTTTTTTTGTGCTCAAGAATAAACAATATCGATGTGATTCATGATTAGAATAATAAAAGTGTAATGGTTAAATTATTAAAACAATCGATGGCACTGAAAATCAATTTTTAGTTATCGCCATGATCGATGCCGATAACTATACGTTGAATAAACATGTCCCATGATGAATCGCTCAATTCTAATTGTTTACAATAGATACGATTACGTTGACTTATTTGTTGATAGAATCCGATCGCTTTGTCAAGTTTTTCACTTGTGTTAGCAGATAAATGATTGCAGAGAAAAGCCTTAGCAACATAAAGAGAGTAGGATATAAATTGCAAAGATTGGAAAAAATCAATTCACTTTGATTTGTTCAATGTTAAATAAAAATGGACACGTGTTTTGTGGTGAGTCTTGCATTTGAAGAGCGAGCCAAAACAGAATGACACCTGTACCAATTAAACGAAGAATTTCATTTTGTGTGTTCAAAGCTAAAAAAAAATTAAAGGTCATATCTCTATAATAAATCTTACGATCTTACCGAGCGAGTTAAAACCTAGTGCGCGTAAGTATTGTTCTAGGCCATCGAAAATATCAACATTGACATGAAGTATATCAGCTAAATCTTTATTCAACGTAAATGAACCGTCCTATGTTCGAATCAAATGCAAAACAATGATTTGGTAATAAGACTTGAAAATAGTATCAATTACCTCAGATTGAATTTTGATGAGCTCTTCAGTTAACGTTTTTGAAAATCGAACATTTTTCAGTTGAATGAGAAGTGGAGCACCAATTGTTTGACCTGAATTCATACACCATTTTCGCTATATCTTTCAAACAACAACGAAGGACAAATTACCGAATGATGTTATAAGTTCACCGGAAAAGTCACGTATTACAGATGTAATTTGGCCAGCCAGCTGAGAAAAAACAGAAAAAGTGAACAATCGAACTATGAAAAGATGACATAATACGAACTAAATACAATCGATCATTGGGTTTGTGATCATGAACTACAAAATAACAATAATTGAACATCATTTATCCTTTTTACACACTAACCAGATTTAGCTGCAACATTTGCATCACTTTCTACATATGCAATATGTCGCTCAATATCATTTTTGCTCAATCCTAGATAAATATAAAAGGCATTTAGCGATGGTATGAAATATCTGAGTAATTGTCGAACTTTGCTGATCAGATCCAAGAATAAACGAAGCTTTCGCGCCCGAACGTGCTTCTTCAGCATCGACATGAAGTATCCCATTAGCATCAATATCCATACGAATAGCTATTTCGAGTGTCTGAGCAGAGAAGTTGCTTGTTAGACCAGGAAGACTAAACTCGCCCAATAATCTCTGCAATAGAGGACGATTAGAAAATAAAATTTATGAAGTTAGAACACTATATACATTGTATTTTGTGAGATAATGTTCACCTTCAAATATTCGAATGGTAGCTGTTGTCTGATAGGCATAAGCATTTGTGAATATAGGATAAAGTTGAGTTCGCGTTGGAATAACTGTATTACGGCGTACCAATGTATGCATCTCACCCTTAATATCTTCGATGCCCAGACCAAGTGGGCATACATCCAGAAGAAGTAGATTACAGACAGATATGTTGGACGTTAAATTAAGTGCAAATTGTCTTCGAAATCTAAATTTTCATTTCGTTATCATTAAAAAGAAAGAGCCATCGATCGAAAATGACAATCAATAACGAATCATTGCATATCCTCGTCAAGCCTTTTAAAACTCACGTCTCTAATTCTCTTGTCTGTTTACAAATCGTGGATTTTGGTTGCGCACTTTCACGTGCAAAGTCTATCGTTCTATCGTCATATCGGTGCTCCTAAAATTGGATGATGTTTCTGTAAAACTTGCATTTTAATGTACGTACTTTAGTGTATCGAACTGATTTTTTCGTTGACATATTCGCTTCTTCCGAGCTTTTTGATTCACTTGTAGCAACTTGTATGCTATCGTGTCTACCACCAAATGACGACATTTCTAAAGATGGTTCTATGTTCATGATCCATTAATTAAAGTAATCGAGAAATTTATGTGGTTCTAACTTACCAACACTTGGGTTCGGTTTTAATGCTATTGGAGATGGCATATAGCTGTCATTAGTGCAGGATGATATTGTTCGACATGATATGTCTGGTGACAGTGGCTTGGGAAAAGAAAGAGAAGCCCATGCAGAAGTATCAGTGATAAGGCCGTAAAAATCGAATGGTTCTGCCAATTCAACGCCTAACATGGATAGCAAATCAGAACGTAGCATGTTTAACATGCACAGCTGACAACAAACTAATAAGGGTGCCGCACTTTGATAGCTCAATTTCTTACCATCGTTCTTTCTACTCCAGCAAAAGTATTTAAGAGAGTGCGAATGTAAGGGTAGATATACGTAACAGGAAGATTCACCGTTATTCACATTCATGTAAAGGTAATTTTCTGAACTTGTAAACTTCAGACTTTCGTTAGGGAAAGGTTAGCAATAATATGAATAAGAACACGAATATTACTTATCAGTGACAGTAGTCGAAACATAACATTTCTAACTTTTAATTACTTTTTGTAAACTCGATGGAGTCTCAGTAACTCTGAATTTAAAATATCGGGCAAAAATCACTAAAACTCAATCAAATTCATAAATTGCTGTTTTCTTCTCGGAAATAAGTGTACAACATTCGGAACTCTTGATCGTATACAAACAACCTATTATTCAAATCTTACTTGATTGTTTTGGAGGCGGTTCGAGTGATAGCCCTGATAGTGGCGCAGACAATGACCCTATAACGGATATAATGTAATAAGCTTGATAATAATGATGATCTTACCTCTCTTCTTCTTTCCTGCCAGTTTGTTATAAACAGTAGATATTGGTACCGGTTGATCTTCTAATTTCGAAAATATATTAAGACCAGTCGGTTCTTTTAAGCGTTCATTTCCATTATCTAGAGTGGTCTTCCAAGTGGGAAAATCATGACTCATCGGCGAAGGCCCACGAGTGTCTGTAAACCGAAGCGAAGGTAAATCGCCACTGAAACTATTGCCATCGCCAGCGTCAGTGCCCTTGCCCTTATCTGAATCAGCCTTTTCATATTCCTCTAATGATTCTTGTTGCAAACCACTTATTTTCGATCGGAATTCTGGTAGTTGCCATGCTAAAAAATACTACTGTCTAGAGAAGTGACACATAAATTATTCATTTTTAATAAAAAACCAAACCATTACATCAAATTAATTACTCTTCCTCGCTGACTACAGCTGCAATAAACTATAAAACATTATCACAGATACTCCAGTGCTAAATTAAATGTCTACATCATGCCAATCTACAAATCTCATATGTCAAAAAACAATTCGATATAAGAATAATCCATATATGTCCCTGAAAAAATAGTTGAAGCTGATATTTTGAATATATTATCATGCTAAAAGTATATTTGTAAAAAGCCCACAATGGTTTCGACCCATGGCTCTTTCTTCAAAATTTATGGTCCTTTCACTGCATTTTTTGACCTATTCCTAGATATTTATTAAAAAAATCAAATTAAGCAAGTTCGATCTGAAACTTTCACGATATTCTAAGAGTTCTTAGACTAATCCGAGGGCAAAGTTTCAGATCGAAATTGCTTAATTTTATCTTTTTAGTGCATACCTAGGAATAGGTCAAAAATTCACTAAAAGGGGTATAACTTTTCAAAAGTCATGGACCAAAGCGCTTTTGAGATTTTTACTACCGCTATATACTCTATCAAATGAGATATGAATGGTACTTACGTGGATTATACTCAATTTTTCCTTCTTCGAAGTCATCTGAGAAAACAGTTTTCTGAAAACTGCTAGAAGGCATCAAGATGGTGGAAAATAGGCTAACTTGACTATGTTTTATAATTCAGATGAAATCTATCTGTGGTTTCCTGTATCTTGATGCATATCTTTTTTTTAATTTTGAGCTATTTTTGAACTGAAATGAAACAGCTAGTCGTTTAGCTCTACTTGAATTTCTCTCAGTTTCGCTTCGGTTCAAAATTTACGAACTCAAGCCATGGCCATCTCTGCTTCAAATATGCACACAATTCTTTTCTCGGTCTTGCTATAAAACTGCGTTAAAGTGGAGTTTTTTTTATTAATGGAATCCCCATGTTGAATGTTACTTTCACAATAACTTATTCTCCCGTATTCACAACCAAACATATTCGTGTTTCGCTAACTGAAAACAATTACCGGATTTATGATGTAAGAGTCCTCAATAGGTACCTGACAGTAAGCAGGCAAAGGCACATATATCTATAAATAAGATGCTTTATGTTTACGCTAGTGAAACGTCGCTGTGAAATTGTCGTTTGTTTTTTCCTGAAGACGTTTCAACAACTGAAATTTCAAACAGCCGAAATCTTATTCGTCAGAAATCCAACACTGAAAACCCGTAATTGGTTTAGATTCCAAGCTGGAATACTCTGATTGGACGAACGCTAGTCATCGAAGAAACCTGTACATTGTTCTTTAAATAGATCTTTGTTTGATCTTACCTCCATCAATATCAGCTTCTCGAATCATTTGATCAACTTCTTCATCAGTGAGTTTCTCACCCAAACTTGTCATCACATTACTTTTAAAGAAGAAGCAGAATAAATATATTTTTATGTTAGTTTTTTCCTTACCAAAGTTCATCAGCTGATATATATCCATTGCCATCCTTGTCAAAGACGCGGAATGCTTCACGCATTTCTTCTTCCGAATCAGTATCTTTCATTTTACGTGCCATCAGAGTTAAAAATTCAGGAAAATCAATCGTACCATTACCTAACAATAAAGAAAATGCAATTATACTCAATAAATATTTGTTATTTTTATATGCAAGAAAAAAAATGAATGACGTTAGGAATAAATATATCTCGAAGTTTGATTTTAATTATAAGTGTGAGCGTCTATGTTGAATTAAAAGATAGAATTTTTTTTCTTCTTAAAATGATCAAAACGCATAAACCAAGTCAGAGGAAGAGGGTACATAAGGGCCGATTTTGGATCATTGCCATTTTTCGTTCATTCATGGTTTATCTGATGGAAAATTTTTGACGATTCTGCTCACACAAAAATGAAGTGGTTTTGGCACATTTGGACCCGTTTTCTACTAGAAATATTGAGTTCATTTTCTACAGTAAAAGTGCACAATTCGTACGTGATTCGTTGACCCCTACGAAGTTTTGTGGACAATATTATTATGAAATGAAAATCCTATCAATTAATTGTTTACTATCAGTTTAATCTCTGATAAAAATTTCTGGCCATTCCTTCTTACTCTTTTTGCTATATCACGAGACAGAAGAAAAACAGCATGGGTTTTTAATTGATTCTGAAAGTCTGGGAGATAAGCTACAAAATCATATGTTTTTCAATTATTTTAGCAATGAATTTTGATTACTAGTGTACTCTAAGTTCAGTTAAACCTAATTTCTAGTATTTGTATTGGATTATCTGGGAGATTCTGATCATAAAAGGTGGCACGTCCATCAAAATTAATTACAGATTTGGAATCAGCGTTGTCAGTTATCTAGTTCAGTATATCTTTCATACTTCCGTTTTAAAATGTTTTTTTTTCGTCGGATATTGACATGAGGAAGCTCAAAAACGAGAATTCTTTTAAAACACAATCTTCCATTATGATTATGATCTCCATCGTCTCCATGAATTCCATCTCTGATCAAGAATTCGTTTTGTGTGGTAAATTCCTCTCTCTTTCAATCTGTATCTTGACGAAAAATGCATATTGTTTTCTTCTCTCTTGAGATATTGCAAAAAAAGAGTAAGAAGGAATGACCAGAAAGCTTTATCACAGATTGAACTGATAGTAAACGGGTCCAAATGTGTCAAAACCACTTCATTTTGGTGTGAACAGAATTGGTATAAAATTCTGCATCACATAAACCATGAATTGATGAAAACTGCCAATAACCCAAAGTCCACCGTTGTGGGCCACCATTCTGTACTATTTGATTGGTTAAAAACTTACCATCGGCGTCAACGTCATTGATCATATCTTGCAATTCAGCTTCAGTTGGATTTTGACCAAGACTACGCATCACCGTACCTAGTGAATATTTAGGTAGATACATATCTAAAAAACTGAAGAATTTCATACCAAATTCTTTTATTGTAATTGTTCCATCACCATCTTTGTCAAATAGAGAAAAAGCTTCTTTAAATTCGGCAATTTGTTCTTCTGTCAATTGATCAGCCTAAAATGAATAATACTTAGGGATACACAAAAGTGTTTCTATGCCGTTTCATCCCTATTCAACTGATATCATAATAATAAAATTTCAACAGGAATTGTTGTTATTGAAAATTTAACAAATACTTAAAGCAGATTAAATTGAAGGTGTGGATGTGGGTGTCGGCATGCGCTGAAAAAGACATACCCACACCCACACCCCATTCCTATTTGATTTATTATGCTTATAGTCCGGAAGACCTTGTATCAGCAAGGAATCAATAGATCTCTTAAAAGAAGTTGATTGTTTCTCTATAGAGACATGTTGTGAATGTGAAGTCTCTTCTTTCGAGATACATACATCTTGTATTTATATCAATCAAAGCCATCCTTTTCTTAATAAACTGTTCCTTTTTCCCTTTCAAATATTTACACCAGTTTTGAGAAAAACCATCAGATTTTTATTTTAAGATTACCCTGAATAAAGCTCAATTTTGCTTTTAATCACTAAATCATGTTACTTCACAGATCAATAATTACATCTAAGCACTATCAATGCTGCCTTTTATTTAATATTATCCTGAAACATGTGTATTTTGTAGCGAAAGATTTATCTGACGTCAATATAGATTCTTTGTTGATTTTGGCACCACCCACGAATCGCCCGCAGTTTGATGTTTTGTGCTCTATTGTTTACCATACTCTTTCTACAACAACGGCTTAGCATCGGAATCAATATCAACTCAACTGCATAAAGTATTTTGGAGATACTTTTACTGCGAACGAAAGACCCTTATAGGAAAATTTGTTTATCAGTCAAGGTGTAGCTGTAGTGATGATCCCTCTTTCACTCGCGCACCTTTATCTTCATGTTATCTGTAGTTGGAAATTGGTTTTAAGGTATTGTTGAGAGGTTTTATGTTGCTGTTGATATAAATAATTCATCAATAAAATCGGGTGCTCATCATCATTGTATAACTAGCTTTCTTACCTTATCCATTTGTTCAACTGTTGTTAAATCCTTGGAATCAGCTCCAAGCATACGAATCAAATCTATGAAAATGAAATATAAACATTTCTTTGAAAACCACCTACACGTTTTCAACGCGGTATTCATTGTGATGATCTTAACATGTTCTACTCAGTATAGGTCGGGGTTTAAATTTAGACTATATAATTCTTTCAAAACATCCAAGTGGTTCCATTTAATGTCACTTCACCGAAGCTTTCTACCACCGTTTCCAAAGTAGAATGACCGAGTTTCCTTCTTACCATCGTATTTAATTAATGATCCGCTGCAAGAGAAAGGATACACGAAATAATTTTTAAATGTTTCTTTCCTTTCTTTCACTTACAATTCGTCATTTGTGATTATTAAATTGTTCGCTAGACATTGTTGCTGTAATGCTTGCCGTTCTTCTACGGTTGCACTAATCATTTCGGTCATTATATCTATTCATTTTTTAAATTCGATATATGTAGATTTTGGTCCTAGATCAATTAGCATACCCTTTTGCATTTTATCTTTTAGTTCATCTGCTTTATCGTAATCATTCAATGAATGTCGATATGTGCGTATGATAGCCATCATGATAGCAAATTTTGCGTCGCCACCTGCTCGATAGGAAACTTTTTGACAAAGTTTTTCAATATCAACAATTGTTTCTTTTTTGCCCTGAATCGATGCACATTCCAGTGAAATACGCGCATCGGCCAATTTCTGTTTGATTGAAGTCAAATTTGAAACATCACCATCCCATCCCATGCATGGTAGTAAGTCAACATCGCGTTCCAGCATAACTTCAAGCAAACGAACACCTATAACAGAGAGTACATGTTTCAATAGTGATGTAGATACTTCAATTTTGGTGCTAGTAAGATTTTTGATCCATAGTGTAAGAAACATACAGATAAATTTTTGCTTTTCTGCTATTATTTTACTAACCTGGTTGAACAGTTTTTATATCCGTGTTGACATCACGTTCTTCGATGGCAACAAAACTAGTGTATTTACTGACAACAGAATGTTTGATGCTGAGATCGATGAGATCTCGTTTGTATTGAACTTTGATCAATTCGTTTTCGCTCTCGTCGACATCCAATAGCCCGTTGTCATAATCATCAATAATCGCTCGAGTGGTTAGACAGTGTAAAATACGTCCTCTGGTCGTTGTCATTGCACTACTAAATACAGTCGTAACAAATTCTTGTTCGTCAATAGTAGCCGCCAATGTTGCCTTGTGACAATTTTCTATGAATCGATAAACAGTAAGTCGCATTCCATTGAACAAAGATCGAATCATTTTCGGTGCTTGCATATTGAGTTTTTGCTCTTTATTCAAACAGCCATGCCAGTCGATTGATATATTTGTAACACACGGTTGTCGAATCTGTTCGAGGATGTTAAATACTTTTGTTTTCCACTTCGATCGATAGTTTGAATCGAATACTATTGTTAGACCACCTCCATTTGCTCCATTAGCTAACTGTTTCAAAACATGTTTGTTTGCAACATTACCAATTGAGCATGTAAACAAACGATCACGACGCATAGTTGGTCGATGTTTGAGTAGAGCCAGAATTGAATTGAGGTCGTGAATATGTCCATCGGATAAAAGAACGATTTGACGGCCAAATTTCGACGATAACGACGATCGTAATAACGAATAACGTTGAAGGACAGCAAATAGATCCGTATTACCACGATGGACACGTGAATGCTAGAATTTATGAAAACGGATATTTCAATAGAAAAATCAGATTCAAAAAATAAACTACTAACTAGAACAAAGTGTTTGGCTTTATCGAGATTTTCTTTTGTAGTTGGTGCTGACATAGGAAAACATTCATCGTTATCTAAATAGTTGCAATTTCAATAGTAAAATAAATGTAGATCCTAATACTATATGTACTTCAAAAAGTAACTCGGCTGATTACGATGACCCAGCCTAATTATCTAGACTGATCATTTTTTTAGCCCGTAAAATTCTCTATCGAACGGTATATATCACGTCGCATGGGTCAAGGCGATCCATTAGATCTTCGTGACTGTGCAAAATCTTGTAATATTTAGGTGCCTGTTTCTGAATCTCAGAAACCAAGCTGAGATAGCTTACCTTTGTGTATGACTTAATATACTTCACTATAATATTTCAATTGATTTTCATAATATAGTACTAGAGGACCAAAAAGTGCGTCCACGTAACCTGGATAGGCCAATGTTCCCATAGAGAAAACGAAGGAAATAATGACATTTTTTAGTATAACCCACTGCGAATCATTGTCATCCTCGAACTTGCTCGAAATATTGATGAGACGATTCTGTGTGCGAAATTTCATCAAAATCAAATGATATTTTGAAAGAGTTATAGTGTTTTGAATGCGCAATAACGCTGTAGAATATCATCTTATTACCTGATCCAAAAGTAATTACATTAAAATATGTATTCTCATCTTCAACTTTCAAATTCGTAAGAAACAAATGAGCTAACTGTTTAGCTTGCTGTACGTGACTGCCATCCATTGAATTTGATAGATCAACAATGAAAATAATTTCAACTTGTTCTTTCGAAGTCGTCAATGTTTCGAATCGTGGATAAAAGGTAAGCATACATGTTTGAGATTGATGGCTGTTCGATGTGTCAGTTGTTTCACTGTTGCCATCCAATGACAATGTTTCATTTGCTATTCGAGGTAAATTAGGACTGTTGAGTGTGATCGAAAGAATAAAATCTTGATCAATTAAGACATTATCAACAAGTTCAATCATAGCTATACAATCGGTTACTTTCCGACGTAGATGATGTGTTGGGGAAAATAATTTCGTTATTTTATAGGGCATTCGAATCGATGCTTTGAAACTGAATTCAACTTTTTCATCGACAATACCGATAGATCGTAAAATCGATTGATCTTTGGTTTCGACAGCTTTTTTCGATTGCCATGAAGTCATTTTGGTTGGAAGGCGAAAAATAATGTCATCATTTTCGATTTCTAATTCGGCAACATAAATTATTTTGATGATAACTTCAGTATGCGCTGGCAAATTACCAACCGCAACGCTGAACACTTGAGCTTCTTCTTGATGCATTAAATAGGCGCCATGACCCTTTTCAATTGCTTCTCTATACTCGCGTTTGGCTTGTTCTTTCTCTTTAACGACACCTTTGATAACTTTATTGTTAATATGTGCTTCGAAACCGCATACAGTTGAATTTTCATCAAGAGGAAACACATACTTAGCTTCGATAGGTATCGAACTTGTATTATGATAGACTTGATAGAGAACAACCTTTTCATTTGATAGAAACATGAGGAATTAGTATTTTACTTCAATCGAAACGTAGATATAATTACTTCAACTGTAACATCAACAATTTGAGCACGAATATGAAATGATTTAAGTGGTACAAGGTCTCTCGATGATGAACATATCAAACCATAGTCTTGTTCGGCTACTTCAATGATTTCATCCTCCATCGTTAATGGAACTTCAGCTAGAATATTTTGAGAAAAATTTAGTCAATTGTTTATTCCAACAAGAAATCATAGCTTATCATTACCGTGCTCACTTAATTTCAATGCATGTTCTTGATGGTGAACAATAGGTAATCGTTCTAAAGTGATACTGAGAGCATCAATCGGCGACCATGAAACTTCCACAACATAAAGTAAACGTTGTTGTTCAACTTGATAGATGGCATATTCATTATCCTATTTCGATCGAACACAAAGTAGATTTGTGAAATAGTATCATAATTAATAAATCCTTCTAGCATTTCACTTACAGTGAACTTTGATTGATTTTCTTCTGTTTGTTTGACTCCATGTGTACTATGAAAACCATCAGGAGGTTTGGTGAGAGTCGGTGAAAACGAATAATAATTGGCTGATTCACCAAGTGCTACTTGACAAATGCATAACAAACGACGACCTGACCGTATTCTACTTGCTGTCGTATATTTCAAAGACGTCGAAGCAGAATCTGAAAAATATATCCCATAACCGAGACAACCCACGTCAGTACGTTCAACGCCCAATTGCTCCACTACAATTTTAGGCATGACTAAACCACTAAACGTACGCACAACCGCCATATAAATGTTGTCTAGAGAACGAAATGAGTATTTTACCGTGAAAGAATCCCAAGAAAATTGACATATTTCGATCCATGAAACAGCTGCCATTGGTGGGAGAGTGTTGTACGAAAATTGAGTGCATCTGTCTGTCTAGTCACACTGAATATATTGTGAATTAAAATTTCTTCACCACTAATAAACAAAAAACAATCATTATGAAATAGAATGTTAAATTCTCTCGCCTATTAGTCGACGACTGAATGAGCTTAGCAATATTCTTAAAGTCGAATGTTGAACTCGCTACTGTTTCAATATGACATTTCAATGCTCGATATTTAGCTTCGATTGGTGCTTTAACATTCCAATTGGTCAGTTCGTTGACTGTATGCATATCTCGAAGCATCTGAACGGGGAAAAGATCAAGTAAAACAATTTAAAACAAGATTGACATACCTGACATAGGTCTATTTTTTCGATCAACGCTCGATGATTCTTGATTAGATCAATATTGTACTCTGGTCGATGTGGTATAAGTGAATAGAAACGAAGTGCAGCAGCAGGATTGTTGGTCGCTTTGAGTTCGAGTAGTGCAGCTTCGGCCTCAATGATCTATTTGGATGTTTAGAACACACAGTAATATGAAAGTGTACACATACTGTTTTGAGAGTAATCGATTCAGGTGATATGCTCAAAATTTTATTCAGATCACCAATCGATTCTAGCCAAATCGATTCAATCAATTGACATACATTTTCATCGAGTATTTGTGTGTCGATACGTTGTGTAAATAAAGACTAGAAACAATTTCTTTTATGTGTAAAAACTAAATTATATTCTTTTATCAATGTCATTTGCATACACGTAATAATAATTTTGATCCTAATTTGTTAGGTAACATCTCACTAATTCGTGTTATACGTGGCATTGCAGCCACACGATAATAGTACGACGCAAACAACTGTTGTTGTTCGTTTGGATCATCACTGAATGCGTATTGTACCAATACTTTTTTATCGTGTTGTGAAACTTCGTCGATAATAGTCTGTTTTTCATATCGAAATCGTAGTTGATAATCACTCGTTGTTCGATCATAGTACTCTTCGGGAATAACTTGAAGTTCAAGAACAAAAAATACACTTGAATTATCATTGGTTTCCTGTTATGAACAATAGAAATATAAGAGAATAACAGCTAGAAATGAATACAAATCTACTTTGAAAATCGCCCATCTGCCAAGCTCACAATGTGCCAGCTCATCGAAACGAGGCAAATTTACATCGTCCGAATTCCACAGCTTGATTTTAGTCAAATCGAATCTATTGGCTTTAGTCACGTTTACTCGAGTTTCTAATAAACAAAGATGTCTGACATGATTTTTACAAGAACTTCTAATACCTTGCATGGAAATAGTGCCGGTTTTTATAAAGTTCTCTTGATCTTCTGCTGACTTGATAATAAATTTGCTAATATCAATAGGTGTTTGACCAGGTCGCAAACAACGGCATTTGTGTACATATTCAACATTCACTACCGGTAAGCCAAGCCGTTTGGCACGACGTATTTTGTAGCTATCTACATTAGTCGTAGTTAGAACATAATCAGTCTAAAAGAAAGGTAACTCCAACCACATGTTTGATGAAATAACACGCGAACATACACTGGCTGTCAAAATATACGAAATATGTGCTTGCTGTTCTCGTAAATAATTGATCAATTCTTGCTTAGCTTTGAAACCTACTTCATGGCCAAGTTCGAGTACAATGCTTTTGCCATTGAATGGTGATAATAATGAAGTAGAGGTAGTAGTTGGTTTCATCTGAAAATAATCAATCTGCGAACGTCTCCATTTTATGATCGATTTTCAATAGAATCGTGTGATAACTAATGTGGTTACGCGTTACTCCATGTAAAGCAAAAGAGAAAAAAACAAGGAGTAGGCAAATGTTGTTCATATATTTCCTTTCAGTTCTGCACGTTGAGTTATTGCACAAGCTGCTGAAATAGTCGGTATACCATGGAAAATTTCATACTTCATGAAGCTCAACGTTAATGCATTTTATTATGAACCTCGTCGCTAATTGTTCTAAATCATGAAAATAGAAGGTTTTCAGAAAAAAATTTTAATTTGCTAAATAACTGACAGTGCTAAGGTAGAAATTCTGAAAAATTGAGACAGCTCTGCCCGTTAAACAAAGGAGAAAACGGCAGACTCCAACTCCTTGAAGTTCCACGGAGTTCCTTAGAATTCGAAGATATTTTATGTTATTTTGCTAAAATTGCCTATTAAACAACGAAATTGATAGGTTTTCATGCTTTTCATTCATCACGTTATCTAAATCGATAAATATAAGTTCAGACGACAACTACCAGTAGTGGCCCCAGCAGATAGCACCTATAATAGTTCTCCTTGAAAAGTTCTTGAAGCAAGTATATCAGTAAATGATTGAATTTTCCTATTGAATACATAGATGGAGTTGATCATATTTTAAATTAAGACATAACCCGTATAGGATCAATGCTGTTAATGTAACTGGAAGTACTCATAAGTCTCGGTAGTCGTTGCAGTTGGTACATTTCAAGATCTGAATATTTGGAATGATTGTTGCTTGTTTGAATGGAAAGTTTGAGCTCTTACGCTTTATTTTGCTGGGAAGATGTTTTATGAGATATAATTTTGTCTTGAATCATTAGCTATATTTTTGTGTGCGTCATTTTCTGGGGTGTGTGGATTGGCTGTGTTTTAGTATGTATGTGCTTTCTCTCTCATCCTGTGTTTGTCTTCTCTGTCAGTTTGGTATAGTTGCGTTGTTTGAAATAATACATTGTTAAATGTGCGATATGAATAATGGTGATAACCGTTGGTTTCACAAGTCTGTTTCAATCACCAGGTGTTTGCTGCGTTTTTTTTAATTCTCGCCTGGAAACGTTTATAGATACATTGTGTCGTACGACAAATTTTTTCTAAGTACTTTGATTTTTTCATTAGAATGAGTTACAAAACTTTTTACTATTATTATATCTGATAGTGCAACAAAACTGCATCAAATTGATGCATGTTCCTAATTCCGAAAAGAGAAAAAAATAATCAGCAAAAACTCAAAAAGTTTTTATAACTTGACTGTTGCTGTTCGCCGACTATTACTCATATCTGAAGAGATTTTTGAAAAATGTCTTTTTGACTAATCCAAAAGTGTATTCGTGCGCGGTCGGAAAGCTTTCAAGCAAAATGTTTTTTCGCGTTCAACTTGACAGAAAGTATTTTCGACTTGCTCAAAACTATTATTAGTTACTATCAAAATTTGGTACCTGTTTTGGAAATTGACCTAGAATTCAGTTTTTCTTCGAAAGTAATCAGTGAAATATTCTTCAGAAAAGCAAACAAATAGGTGAAGATGGAAACTTCTTCCGTTCATTTTTGTATTTTGCTTTACAACTCAAATCGAAAACTTCTTATCTTGCCCTATAAATCAGCTTGCAGAACCTAAAATACCCTAAAATATGTACTACATGAAGTTTTTTAGCTTTCGCTGAGACATCTCAGCTTTTGTTCTTCTCAAAACTCATTTCTGAAAAATTGACTTTTCAACAAAATCATTTTACGTTAAGAGGAGCTCCTAATAAATGCGTGTAGAATTAATTGAGTTAAAACTAGTTTAAATCAATATCCCCCTTTTTGTCGGGAAGTATCCGCTCAAGAAAATCACGGACTACGACAACTCTTAACATCTTCGTAACGTAGCTTACAGTTCAAACAAAAAAATGTTCGCGCATCATTGAAAGTAACTTTTTACGCTCTGCACTAAGTCCTTCACTATATTTGAATAAAAATATACATAACATTTATAAGATCATCTTCGAAAAAGCGCAAAGCTTTAGCCATAGAATAACTTTCGACTCGTCTGAGATGCCTTCTAACTAGTTGAGTGGCAATAAACAAAACCGTACCCTCAAATCTTTCAATCATTAGTTATGTGTTGTAAGGATAGATTATAACCTTTAAAACTTGATTGGAAATTAGAATTACGGTATTTTATTTTCTTCCGAAACAACTACGAGCTTCACCCAATAACTAAAGCATTCAAATATTCAATTACAAAGACTTATACATCTTTTTATAGAAAAAATTCATCCTTCAAAAATTTAGCAAGGGGGCTCAATCCCCCTAGTCCTTCCCTGGCTCCGCCGCTGCATGCTGCGTATTGTAGAAATAAGTATTTTAAAAAAGAAAAATTCTTTTTAGAGTAAACTTCGTTCTTTATCTTATTTTAAAAGTACTTCGAAATGAACGAAATTTAATACATTTTCGAGTGTTGCACTTCGTTTCTGTTCTCTTTTTTCAAAAACGCTTGTGCTAAAGATAAGAATCACACGCTATATAACTAGTATAACAAAGAAAACGTTAGAATTGTATGATATTATGCATGAAAACATGTATATTCATTCATGTAATATAGACTTTATGTTTGCTGGTGACTTAAATAATGAAAATCTTATTTATTATTCGATAGAGATTTGCCGTCAGTGACAACATAGATACATGAAAGCAGCAACTATGTAATTAAATGTATGCTTTTTTTATAGCACAACTTTATACGTCGTGTAAAAGCATGTTTTTGTTTTATGAATCGTTCTTATCTTTATTGCAATTGTGACATGATAGTTTTTCTTCTTGTCAACATTATACTTTAAGCTTTTGTGGTGATAATGTATTTGCCTTATTTATTTCAATTGTTTTTAGCCAATAGGATGATGGACCGTTGTTTTTCTATTATGTACTTAGGAGTTAACGATTCATGTCATCCGATCTACAACATATAACATTTGATTATTCTGTCTCTTGCGATTATATTTCTATATGAAACACATTATTGATTTCAATTTTAGAAATATAAGTGAAGATTCACATCTCATGGACTTGGAAAGCCAGGAAGAAAGCTCGATTGCCAAAGAAATTAATGACAGTAGCAAGAATACTAGAGGTAAAAAGATTTTTATTCCGGCGACTGGCACTCTAGGAGATGTGAAACCTTTTATGATACTTGCCGAAGAACTTAAAAAACGTGGACATATCGTATGGCTTGGTGTACATCGACGTTATCAAGACATAGTAAAAGCTGCTGGTAAGTACTATCAATCTTAAATCCAACAATCGCTTGATACTTTCCCATATTATCATTGTATCATCGCACAATATAAATCTAAATCTAATATTGAAGAGTTCTTTCATTAATATTTCCATGATATCACCTTCTATTTGTTTATTCAGGTTTCGATGTAGTTGAAATCGGTGGTGACCTAGAACATTTTTTATCGACAAGCCCAGAAGGAATCGAGCTCCGACGGAATCCAAGTATTTTAAAAATGGGATTAGTAAAACGTATATTTCAACCAGCGATTGAAGAATGGTTTAATGGAATTCTGTCTGGTGTAAAAGACGCTGATTTAATTGTTCTAACAGTTGCATCTATTTTCCCTGGATTAAGTTGTATTGAGAAATTTCCTAATATTAAAGCAATTGGAATCTACACATTCCCAGTGATACGAACAGTTCATTTTTCGCCGCCTGGTTTAGGTGGGAAAAGTGGTAGTTTGTTCAAGTGGACCAATTTATTGAAATGGAAAATAGTCGACTATGCTATGTCAAGCATCTATAATGATAAACTCAATGAACTTCGTGCCACTAATGATTTACCACCAATGAAATTAAATTATGAACGTATGACTCAATCCCTGTTTCGTAAGCCATTGGTATCTGCAACGATCTATTCCAAATATTTAATACCATGTCCATCCGATTGGCACGAAAATGATCATATGGTCGGTCCAATACTTGAAAAAGAAAATGAGAATTTTCAACCGCCAACTCCTATTCTTGACTTCTTGACCAAATGGAAAAACGAGAAGATTATCTATGTTGGTCTTGGATCAATGATGGGTACCATGTTTGGAGCAGATGAACAAATGGAATTTATACGCAAAATTTTATTGGCTCTTGATAGAAATAATTGTAAAGCAGTTATGTCATTAGTTGGATTTAAAAGCGCAGATGCCAGTACGTTATCCACAGCTGATAATATATTTTATTTGACACATGCCATTCCACATTCTTGGTTATTTATTTATATGTCAGCAACAATTCATCATGGTGGTGCCGGTACTACACATGCAAGTCTTTGGTATGGATTGCCTACATTAGTATTATCTTTTGGAGCCGATCAACCATTTAACGGTGATCGAATATTTATCAATAGATTAGGACCAAGATCTATTTCCATACGTCACACCAATGTGAAGAATTTAACTAATGCAATTCGTGATCTTATGATTGACAATTATAACATTTATAAAACCAGTGCTAAAAAGATTAGCGAATTAATTAAAAATGAAGATGGACTTAGTCATTGTGTTCGTCTTATAGAAGCAGAACTAGCAGAATAACGTTTACCTTGTCAAGATTTTTTCAGAGATATTTTTTTATTGAATTGTTTCCTATTGGATTTGATATGCCACGGATATGGTATAGTTTGATCGCTTTGAAAATCGAAATATCGACTGTGTCGTCAATAAAAGGGATCGTATATATTCGGATCAAATGAAAATTTTCACTGCCAAACTAACAAGGTTAAATTGTTAGCTACCACTGCCTTGTGTAAAGTATGCAAACATCCACGAATACTCACAAATTTTATGACCATGTAGTCATAATCGAGTTACTTATACACTCAAAATATTAGACTTTTAAAAGTTTGCATAAGAAAAATATCAATCATACAATATTCCACCTGATGGCAATCAGGAATTTTACTAACACTTACGCCCACATCCAGCATTGACACTTAAATTTATTGGTATTTTTGTATTTGAGTAGGTCTCATTTTTCTGGTAAATTGATAGTATGTTTCTTAGTCATAAGCAACACTAGCTTATCCTACAGTTTTAAATAAACAAAATGCCATCTCTTAAGAAGTAAAAGGAAACAAAATTTAAAATTGAAGACGCATTATTTTCTTATTAATTAGCCTGTTACACGTAATAATCTGCCAGACAGAAATTCGTTGCTTTTCTTCTGCTATTGGCCAACAAGTAGACTGATGATGTGTATACGTTCTGTTTTTATAGGTTCCTTTGTTTACCATTTATGGGTGTGGGTGAATTTTCCAGTCTGGATCATATCCACACCCACACCACACACCCCATTATTAATATTCGATTACTTTATTCTTTCTTTAGCATGTTTTATATTTTCACGATATGTTTGAATATGTTCATGATCGGCTGGCAAAGATTTTAATCCAATATTCAAGGCTATTTCAAAGTTTTCTAATGCTTTTGCATAATCTCCTTTACAAAGATAAACACTTCCTATGTTATTGTATGTTGCAGCGATTCTGAAATGAGTTGATGGTAGAATTCTTTTTTGGATTTCAAATGTGTGTTGCAACTGATCCAATGCATTAACAGAATCTTCATTATCTTGATATATTCCACTCACGTCTGTATATAATGTTGCAGATAATAAAAGACTGGGTAGCGTAGAATTATTATTACAAATTTTAAAAGCTTTTTTAAAATATTTCAATGCTGTTTTATTATACTCATTTTCATAATACAATGAACCCATATTATGATATAAATTCGCTAAGAGAAGATCATTTTCTGATACGTTTTGCATTTTATAACTTTCGTATGATTTCTTATAATATTCTAATGCTTTTTCATCATTACCCATATCATTGTATAATACTCCCATATTATTTAATATTATTGGAACTCCGCAATGATCTGTTGATAATTCATCAAGCATCATTTGATAATATTTTTCCGCTTTTTCATATTCTCCCATCTCTCCTAATAGTAAACCTAATGTACCGACATTCGATATACTTGTAGTTGAATTCATTTTGAAATAATTGAATAACATGTCTATTTCATTAATCACCACTGATTCATTTAATATTAGCTTAACGTCCCAAACATGAGCATTTTCAGCTAACTGTTCAACTGACTGAATCTTGAATATACTTCCAATCGATAATAGTATTTCTTCTTCTGCCTTGCCAAATTGACTCATCTTTGTAATGTCAGCGAATGGTTTAGTTTTAGCAGCAACATTTTTATTAATCGTAATTTCAAATAAGATGGATTCAAGCGAGGGCCTATTTGAACCATCACCGGCGGATATTAAAGCTCGATTCTTGTTTCGAGTTGTTGATAAAAATGAATTCATTGAAATAAGACCGTTCACATTATTTTTTATTTTTTCCAATTCATCACAATTGATATGTTGGCCACGGTAGACAATCGATATTTCTTCTAAGGATGGCATAGATTCTTCATATAATTCTTTCAATAGTACATAAAGATCTCTTATAAAAAATTGATATTTAAAAATAATGTCAATATCTTGTGTACGTAGTGCTTGGTTTAATTGTTTATATGCGAAACTCTCACGTGTATACCACCAAACTGCAAAGTCTGGTTCATATTTTTCTTGAAACTCGTTAATATCATCTAATTGAGCTTTATTATCAGCATAATGCAATCGGCAATCTTCTAACATCATCATTTTTGCACGATCTGTTTGAGGTATTTGAATTAAAACGTCCATAAGCAATTGAGTCCACATAAACGTAGAATATTCTTTGTTTAAAGCACGAATTGACTTTTCATTGACGATACATGTTAGTGGCAAACTCTTCAAATATGATTTGACGTCTTGTTTCAGTTTTTCAATAAGTTGGTTTTTACTTGAGAATATTCCATGAAGTTTTGAAATAGTTTTTAGTTCACAGGTGTCCCTCAATTGATTATCCGAATATAGAACGTAAATAAATACGATCTGTTTGATTTCAAAAATCAGCGGAATAAATGTTTCGCAGATTGAACCAGAAACGATTAGAAAAACGTATCCATTCGCTATTATACCATGAATACACTCATTTGGATCATGATATATTCCTATATAATTATTGCATTGTCGTAGACGATTTTTCGTATCAAAATAATCATCGGTGTTTTGATGAATACGATCAACATCAAGCCATACAATAGTCAGACCTTCAAGATTTTTCGTTAATGAAGTCATGAACTCCTAAAATGAATTTTCGTTAAAATATAATGTATTTTTGCCTGTCTTCTTGTGTTGAATATCAAATATTAAAATAAATAATTTTTCCGTTGTGCTTATTTCATTCTGTACAACGCAATTTCTCTTATCTATTTTTCCTAATATTATCATCGCACAGAATAAAAAAAAACATTTTACAACATGTGAGTTTGCACACAAAAACTAGTTTCAAAATAAAGCCTTATCTCTGGAAGGTAGGGAAATGAGGGACCACCCTTTTTGGTCCCGATCCCATCCCAAGCCCGACTAATTTTTTTCAGTCCAGGTCCCGATTTTCTGAAACACACTTCTATTTTGGGTGTGGGTGTCGATGTGGATACGCTGTTTTTAATTCAGTCTACACCCACACCCTCAAGTTTATCGTGTTGTTTTAAAATTTTGAATATTTATTTGTGAAGATTTTCTTGTATTATAAAATATATGAAAGGGAAAATAGTGAAATTACTTCTTGAAAATAAAAGAACCAAGTACTATAGACGATTTTTTTTCTTTAAAAAATTTGCTCGGGACTGACTAAAAAAGTATTTAGTCCCGGTTCCACAAAAAATTATTTTTTGGTTCCGAATTCAGTCCCATCCGGAACGGGACCTTTTTGGGTTCCCCACTCGAAGGGTCAGACTGGGGATGAGATTGAAGGTGGGTGTACCAGTCCGACTGTACTAGTGAATTCCTATCCGTATGTCTTTCATATAAATCAATCTGTTAGTCTTAACTCTAGAGTTTCAATAATCGTCCTACCTGACAACAAAATAATAATTTCAAAATTTGCTTTGAAATAAATATAATTTCAAAAAAGAATGCCTAACTAATTCCGTCAGCGAGTTTATGGTTAAATCGGTGTGGGTGTGGTTGTGGGTATGAATATTATTCTATTGTCTCATGTACGCACAATCAAAATTATGCCCGCCCACATCTCACACCCACACCCAGCCATGTTAGTCAACTTCGACAAGTGCTAGAGCGGCACAACGTAGCATTGTTGGCAGATTAACCGAGCCTGTTGTGATCCTCTTCTCAACAGCATATGCTTCAACAAAGCAGGTGTCGCCGGGGTGGCGACGGTGCCCATTCTTCATTATCATTGTCTTCCTTCAACAAGGTGGCGAAGGCGGCTCGACGGTGTGGCAATGGCGATCGTCCGAGGAAATGACTTTATGTCAATCATCGACATCGATCGACAACATGACAAGCCAAATTGGTTAGGGTTTTGTCCTCGACTACAATCATCTGTCAATCTCATTAACCCTTTTCTAGTTTTCTCGTTTTTTTCGTTTTTTTTCCACTTTCTTTTTTCTCCTATGTATTCCTGGTTTTTTTTCATTTCTGTTGATGCGCGGGCGCGCATCTTGTTAATTGCGGGGTGGTGTTACGACCTGCTCTCCGGTTAGGTCGTAGAGTCGCCCCATCTACAGTATCTCTTATTATCTTCCTACATCTCGCCTGTTGTTTGATTCGTACTATCTATATGTTCATGGTCTATCTTCTTTCTCTCTGTGTTCTCTCTGTCGCTATATATAGCTAGTTAGTTATGTAGTAGGGACACTTTTGGGTTTACTTATTTGAATATATATACAGCGGAAAGGTAGTAAGGACCTTCACATAACAATAGAATACGAGATTGAAACGATTCAAACACCATGATAAGAAGAAGAAGAAAAGCTTATTAGTACAGCCCCTTTGTGGCTAAAATGTGGAACTCACATATATCCCTTTGGCTTACTAAAATAATTCAAAATAGTTCATCTAAAAAATCTACCCTGATTTCCAAAGCTTATAATTAGGTTATTGCCTATTTGCTTATATCTGTAATTGAGTATTAATTGTTAGCTCGTATATTTATCAATGACAGATACTAGTTTCTATGGTCTGTAATTGGCAAGCATCGCTTTTTCGTGCAGTCTGTAGTTTAAAAAAGGAAGAAACAGCAGCCTAATTAGTCAAGCTCCTAATTAGCACAATTTTAAGCTAATTAATGTCTGTAATGGGGAGGGGGTGGGGAGCCGCAAAAATCTCGCTTTTAAACTTACTCTCACCATTTTCTTCGAAAATATATGTGAGTTCCACAAAACCGAAAAGAATATAGTAAGAGTAAAAAGAACGAAAAACTTCAGATAATTCATATTGTTCACTAGAAACAATATGCGAGATGATTAAAAAGAGAAAAGCTGATGATAAAGTAATTCAAATACGATGAAAAAAAGCAAACGTTAGGTGCTGATTATGAATAAAAATGTTTATGATACGATCTGATTTAGTGGTGGATGATGTGGCAATGGTGATTGATGAGGTGGCGACAGAATTGACGAGTTGTTTTTGTGTAACAGTTGATTAATTACTGGATTTGGTGTGTGATAAAAAGACGTTGTGGGTGTGTCAAGCATACCATGATCCAGATTTCGTCCTTGTTTAATGAAGTCATCAGATGGTAATGACTCTGCCATACGTGTTTTAAATGATTTCAATTTATTCAAAAGAAATCACAAACAAAGTGCAATAATCTGCACAGTATATTAACTAAATTCTAAAAGAACCTACTGCCCATTTAAAAAAAGGCGGTGGGTATTTTTTGAATAACTTTTGATAGGAACAAGATAGCGAGGTGGGGTTTTCACCATGCGTGAGTCACGAGGGTGGGTGTGGGTGCAGGTGCCTATCTGACTCATGATCAGCCCATACCCACACCCACACACAAATCGGAATGAATGTCAAACTTCCAAAAGTTTAAGGCGACTGATAAAATGAACTATAGTATTCAATAAGAAGTCCTTGCTGAATGCTAATAATTTAAAAATAATACTGAACGAAGTTGTTATTAGAACGAAGAAACGATCAACTCCGAGATTGCCATATGGTCTACCCTAGTCGAACATCTTGTAAGCAAGATCTGGGAATCTTGGGATCGGTAAGTAAGATCTTATTAAGGTCTTAAAAAGATAATTTGTATGTACATATCTTGGTTGTATCGGATAAATCTGTACTTAAGATCTTGTCAAGATCATGGAAAAAATATCGTGTACTATTATCTTCCGATAAGATCTTGAGCGAAACAGAAAGCGACATCATTAGTGTATTTACATGCTCTCTAGTCATTCACCGTTTTAAAATGGATACACAGCTGTATATAAATAGCATGGTTGAACATACAAAATACAAATTTTCCAAATTTTTTTTCTCAACTATTTCTCGATTATTCGAGAGAATGCTGATCTCGATCGATGATCGAGAGAGGACTTCCGTAATTGGTCCGGCGGATATCAGACCAATTTATAGCCAGTCAGATCGCAACATCTGACTTGCTGGAATTCGGAAGAGGAATAATTAAAATGAAAATATATTGAAAAAATATAAAAGAATGCAGCAGGTATTATTTTAGTGTGCATCCAAGATTTAATGAATTCTTATGTAAGATCTGTAATTAGATCTTGGGTACAAGATAATACAGTTATCTTGTACCTGAATTTCCAAGATCTGTTAACATATCTGTACCTTGTATCTTGACCAAGATCTTGCTTACAAGATGTTTGTCTAGGGTATCTTTTAATCAATTGACGAATATGTCTATACCTTTTTCAAGTTACAGCATCTATCTTTATCGTCGTTATGTGTAACTCTTTCATGTTTTCTTTCTTTTCGATCATTGTATTTACTTATTTGTTGTTTGTTTGTTTGTTATTACTTTCCAGTGAAAAATATCCCTCATAAAATCGTGATTATGTTTGATTATGGTTGACCAAATCCGATTTCTCGAACCAAACTACCTCTTTTTGTAATATAATTAATCCGACTAAAATCCAGCAATTGATTCAAGTTTTAATCTATTCTATCAATTATTGATGATTTTACCCCTTAAACTCTGATTTTAATCGAACAATTGATTGAAATCGTCCCAATCAATTGAAATTTCAATCTTGGAAAACCAAATTGATAGATTATCAATCGGTTATTTCTAATTACAGCAGTTGAAACTGATTTTAATTTTACAATCGATTAAAATCTTCTCTACCGATTGAAATCCAAATATTTTACAATCGAATTGTTTGATTAACAATCGATTGTTTCTAATGACTACAACTCATCAGCTCGATCAATTCTATACAGAATCCGACAACGGATTCAAAAGTCGGAATCAATATACTTTCCTACTATCGTTTTCGATCAGTTTTCAATAGGATCCGATCACCATCTCTACATTTCCTGTACATAGTCAATGCTCCTGTATCAAACCTAATACAAACCACATCAGCATTTAACGCTAAATTTTTATGAAAAACTATGCTTGTATTCCTTCATGTTTCTTACGGGTTTCACAGATGCTCTATGTCGTGAAGAGACACACGCTTACACCAAGACGCGAAACAGATTCTTCGAAACTATCAAAATTTGCAATAGGTCATGGAGATCCAGGAACCCGAATCCACCGTCATTTTTCCTATCCGATCTTCCATTAGTCAGAAAATGGGTTCATCCAAAGCTCAGATACTGTAAAGTGTGGGTGTGAGTGGGATTGTTAATACAAAGATTGCTTACACCCACATCCTCAAAATTTACTATGATTATTCTTCTCACACTCTCTTGTCTATTTTAGCTAAAAATTTCACTTCCGCGTACACTTTTAGTTCTTCTAAGTATTTTGCAATGATCTTTGGATCAAACATTGTACTTAGTGTTGAGAATTCTCTTCTTTGCTTTGATATTAAAAGTTCCAGGAATTTTTTTTTTGAAATTTTCCTTTCAATTTGATATCTTATACAGCGCTTAAACCATCTGATGAAGACCCATCAGAAAAATCGAAACTAGTTGTAGTTAATTTCTAAACTTGATACACACCCACACCATCAAGATATTACCATTCTACTTCATCGTGAATTAGAGCAGAATAATATTCTCGAATTGATTTTGAATTTTTTTGTTCAAATTTTTTTGAATCGAACTAGAGACACTAAGTCACCTGATGAGACTGACTAAGCATCAGTCGAAAAGCGTCGTGGTAGTTTCTTACACACCCGCACCCAATAAAAGGGGTTTATGAAAGTGCAACGTGTCATAAACTTTTTTTCCGCATATGACGAAGATAATAAACAGTTTTTAGGTTTATGATTTGGAAAAGGGGTTTATCAGATATTTCAAAAACGGAAAAAAGGGTATGTGTCACGTTGCACTTTCATAAACCCTCTTTTTTTTACAGTGTAGCTATCATCTCATCCTATATTCAAGAGACGGGAACAGCTACTTCTGCCATGTTAGTTCAATTTTTGTATCACTTACTGGCCAAATTTGTTGTTCTGAAACAATATCATGATAGTCTTGCCATAAAAGGTGCTCCTCGTTAAAACAGTAGTGTTGATCGAGTCATTCGAGTCGAGAATAAAGCTAATTTCGTGTGCTATTGATTCAATTTCTTGTCAGCTAGATTTGCTCTCCTATGAAGAAGGATCTCGTCTGTCACGTGGCTATAGGGGTGTCAGTTTACGTTAATGTAATATTAAGTGTTAAGTAAAACCACTTAATTAACTCTCTTAATTAACTCAAATTAAAATCAACGGTGATAGCGTTAGTGACGGATCACAATAACGCTAAACGAAGATTAATACGTTCTTCTAGTCTAACTGGTAGGACATCTGCCTGGATAGCAGAAGTATGGGTTCGATCTCCATGAAGGTCATATTTTTCTTCGTTCTGTCACATAACATCAGTGACACTGCTTGTCTCTTTCACTCTCTATATATCCCTCTTTCATTCCTTATATCTTTCTTTCATTCTATACATATTAGAGCTAACAAACGGTCCAACCCTATGTGGCGATTGAAATCTTTTGACCAACTTCAATAATGCCTATCAAGATTATGGTATCGTGCACCCGAACTCTAGTATTTCATCCCGAGCCCCTTTTCTTGCTCGATGACCACTATTGAAAATAATGCAATTCGACGTAGAATTTAATTTTACATCGAACGCACGTTCTTGAGCTAATCCGGACAAAAAATAACCGAATTTGGTGCTAACTTTACCTATATCACTTAGACGTATTTTTTGTTAAAACAACGTTGAAAATTCTAATAACTTGACTGTGATTAAAACATATCTCATCTGTTATTCAGAGTAATGACGTCATCAAAAATACGTATTGTGAAATATTAATAAAACATTTCGAAAGTTCGCGTCATGAGCCAAAACTAATATTTGCCTAAGGTGAAAAAATATATCATGTTCTTTACGTAGCTGCTTATAAATCACTCTTATAATGGACAGACAAAAATAATAGGCCTCCTTGTATTTTGCATGCTTCTCAGCAGCATATGAGCGTATATGGTAAGCCTTTTTTCTGAAAAACTCTTCGACTCATTCTCTGCAATTGACGCTTGTAGTTTTCAGTGGCACAATCAAACGCATCATTTAGCACGAGCAACGTTCAAAAACATATTATTCCATTTACATGTTTCAATGTCGGAATCCGTTTTCCTTCCAGTTTCACCATATTTCAGTCGATGAGCATCGCGAAAAATAGAGTACGCTGAAGGATGGACTATTATACGTTTTGATTGTAAACGATCAGTATTATTCATGTATAGAAAACGGTTTGACAAGGTTTCGTTGTGCTTTTGATTGTTTATAAGTAAATATTCAGCATAATTAATATTCTCTAAAATCGTTTTCTATACATGAATAATACTGATCGTTTACAATCAAAACGTCTACTAGTCCATCCTTCAGCGTACTTTATTTTTCGCGATGCTCATGGACTGAAATATGGCGAAACGGGAAGGAAAACTGATTACGACATTGCTCGTACTAAATGATGTGTTTGATTGTGCCGCGGAAAAGTACAAGTGCCATTTGCAGAGAATGAGTGGAAGAGTTTTTCAGGAAAAAGACTTACCGCATGCGCTCATATGCTATTGAGAACCGTTCTAAGAGAACAATACAATATGTAAGTGTATCACACAGATACAAAGTTAAAATACATCAAAAATCTATCTGCAGTCTATTTATTAAAGTATCCTGAGTGTCCGATACTTATCAGCCGTGTAATTTAACTGAGTTATTTTCTTTTAGAAAAAAATAATTCTCATGGCTACTCTGAATTCTACTGCCTCAAGGCCTCGCCGTAAAATAGCATTAGTTATCGGAAACCAGAATTATATTCAATCTGAAGATAGACTTCGTCATTGTATCAATGATGCTAATGATCTTAGTAACGTGCTACGAAATATTAAATTTCAGGTAAAAACGGCACGTGATCTTACAAAGTCACAAATGGCCTCTACAATATCCGCTTTTGCTGAGACAATCGTTGACGGCGATTTGGTTATGTTCTACTTTTCTGCCCATGGCTATCACGTTAATGGCAGAACATATTTGGCTCACGTAGATGATGATTTAATTAAATCTGATGAAGATGTTGAGGATTATTGTACTTGTGCCGAACGCACTCTTCATCAATTAAGACAAAAAAATCCATCCTTTGTGACGGTATTTATACTGGATTGTTGTCGAGTACACTATCCAAAAAACAAAAGGCAAAGAAAAGGTTGGTAGCAAAAACTAGTCAAAATTGTGCCGTATAAGATGTATCACGTATCGTTGTTTTAGCGAAGCTCGAAGGTATTAGTTTACATGCAATGGAAGTACCGGATGGCAGCTACGTCGTCTTTGCATGTAGCCCAAATCAAATTGCCTCTGATGGTGATACTACTGATAGAAATGGATTATTCGCCAAACATCTATTGAAACACATAGCAAAGCCAAATAAAGATATTACGCAGCTATTTCGTACTGTAGCTAATGGCGTTTGTATTGAAAGTAAACAAAAACAGAAGCCTATACGTATGGATGGTCTAATGCGGTTGGAGCACATTTCCTTAAATGAAAAGCCTACCGCTGCACAATAAGAGAAGAAAAATGGCTTCGACAAAGTAATTGTTCAGCATAATCCAAATGAATATCAAATAAAATCAGAGTAGTTAAATGAGTAAATTCAAGATTATTTGTTGTCGTTTCTATTTTTTCTTGTCGCTCAAGATGAGCAGCATTTGGTAATATTCAACGAATATGAAATTGACATAAATGAGGCATGCATAAAATAATGTGTTTATCCAAATCAAATCCATCAATAAAACGTTTGGGTGTATTTCTTTTGAATTCAATAGCTAATAATAATATTAAATATCCGACATCTGATCAACATTGTAAAACAGGAAGAAACAAATTTTCATTGCCAATCGTTTCAAATTAGGACATGAAATCTTTATGAATTAATTAAATGAGATTTGCAATTACTAAATATTGCTTACTGATTTAATTTTAGAAAAAATACCAACATCTGATGCAGAAACAAACACCACACACTTACAACGAATGAACATAATTGTGAGCCCAATTGATTAAGTAAAAAAATGCAACGTTCGAATTCAAATAATATTATTCGAATAAGAGTCAGATGGATTGATTCAGGAAAAATTAAATCATCGCCATTTTAAAATATATTTTTTAAAATACAATCATCATCCAATTCGAAAGATACAATAGAAGACACAGATAGTGAACAAAAGAATTTAGATCAAGTGCGAGCAGTATTGCTCTTATCCAGTACGTACAGAAAATTGAGGTATATTTGAGAAGAGAGTAAAACACCGCGAAACACAGTTAAGGTTATTGCCTAATAATATATACAAATATCAATGTTTTCCTAAGTATAGATTTTATCAGAAGGGTAAAATCATCGGTATTCAACCATTTTTTGGGAAAAGGTTTTTGTCGACTTCCACTCGAAATACAGAAGATTCGAGTTGTTTTTTAGGAATATCTAAGGAGAAGAAGAATCAACCAGGTTATTATAATGTTTAAAGCTCATATGCTGGTCAGAGATAGGAGGCTAGTAGACTAGCATATCATCTAATGGTTCCTTCTTTTTAAATGTATTATGATCGAAATATAAGATTTTTAAGGAACACAATTTTGATCATAACGTTTTTATCGCAATGAATACTTAAAAAAGTCTCACATCTTTTCTGCTTAAATGTTCCTAAAAAGCCACTTGAATCTTCTATATTTAAAGTAGAGTTCTTTTTTTTTTAATTCTGAAAAAATAAGAATTTATCTTATTTTATAAGTAGAAAATGAACTAAAGCGATAGTTAATCATAGTTTACCTAATGTGTAAGTTGAATATTATTAATGATACAAGGCATAAAATGTGTGTAAAAACGTGGAATAATAAATTGATATGGTGATTGAAAATACTTAAAAGTTAAATCAATTGAATGATACATATCAAGTGCAAGTTTTGCTAAACGATTATTATCAATAGTGATAGTAGAACAAAGCAATAACACTTTAGGTTTCACTTTGTACATGATAATTAAAATTAACTCATCAAGTAAATCGACCAGCTGCATGGAGTCTTCTGTACAGAAGAATAATACAAATAAATGATATTATCAAAGAGCTACACATACTCATACCTGATAAAGAATTCATTGTCGATATAATGTGTCTATCGGATAATAGAATAGACGTATACTTATACAATGCTTGACGGACATCGTCTAAATGATAGCCGATCATTGATAATCAATTATGTTAACAAAAAGATTCCTTATAGAAAAAAAGAAATATATAGGTGAATTAATCCGATGAAACTATTTACCAGATATTTTCAATGTAGATGTAATCTATTAATTTTTGATATATCGAACTGTAGAAGTGGCCCATTATAGTACTAGAAACGATAGAATGGTTAAGATCATCCATTTCCTTATTGATAAGTGTGCACCTATGGAGAATTTTATACGCATATTGATGTGCTATCATAAAACTCGAATATATATTGATAAGTTATTAGATATTTCATATTTATGAATGATTTTTTTTCAAGTTTAACAATTTTATCATTATTCTAGAGACAAATAATTAAAAATAGCTCGAAGGCAAACGTGTGGATGGGAGAGCATATTGCGCTCATCTCTCATTCACACCAAAGCTGTTAAACTAAGCAAATAAAAAAGATTGAAAATAAGATTTCTGTTCAACAAAAATATATGTGTCTTTTCCCATGCACTAAGACAAGAGTAGAATGTGTGAGGTGAATATCATGCATCCAGATCTTCAATGAAAAAGAGACGGAAAACAATATCTTCCTGATGAAATAATTTTTGTATCAGATGATGAAAGATGCAATGGTTCTCCACTATTTATTAAACATAAATCCATTTTTTATTGATGATGACAAATAATAATGAGTTCGAATATAATTTAATAAATGTATTGACTAATTAACAAAAATGAAGAGAAAGATTATTCAATAAAGAAAAAAAACAAAAGATTTTCTCGACAATTTTCATTGACAAGTAAACCACAACCATTATCACAGTGAACTTCAAGCAACACTTTTTTTTGTAAATATATTTGCCATTTAAATATACAATTATTTTTTAAAAAATAATTTGTTTACAAGTAAATAATTATATATATTTAATCGAGCGTGACTAAATAGCTGTGTGTCGAACTAATTAAAATAGGTTTATATTTTGGCGTCATTCTTAAAAGCGAAGACAAGTCGTTCAAATGTCTCAATGATTATTCAATATTTTTCATTAGCAATGAAAGTTTCTCTTCGTATGTTCAATCGAAATCTTTATGTTTAAATACAACAGAATTATTCATATTTGAATAATACTTGACCATGTTTATCAGTTATTAAATACAATTGAAAACGAATACAAAACGTGTTGAAATGAAATTCGGAACAAATCAACTTGATTATCTCTAATAATTTCACTTAGATATCATGGATGACTTCGATGATAAAATATTTCACTGCTTTCTTAATTACAATAAAAGCCATTTCCTATTTCAAATGATAGAAAACTAAAACTAAAATTGTATTTTTACAAAATTTCAATGTCTACGAATATAATATTCCGAGACAATGAGTTTCATAGATTATTATTAATAAACTTCTACATAGTTCAAAATATAATGATGCCTCTAGCACTCGAAGCATTTGTTCGATTACATCGCAATAGTAACGATTCATATATTTTTGTTCTGTACTATGTAAATTCATTTAACTTTTGATAATTTCTGCTCATAATAGAATAGATTTTTCTAAACTATTAATTTCAATTAATTGATGAGTAAAATCGAATTTAATATTTATTTTAACTGTTAAAATATTTTACAACTATGTTTTTATAGAAGTGAAAAATTTTCATTTCCCTTCTCATTCAATACACAAATACCATTCTATCGATCAGAAAAATAAATCTTGGCATTTAATAAATAATTTAACAAAAGCTGGGTGTGGATCAGAGATCGTCACAGGGCAAATTTTTGCCCTGTCCTGCCCTGCGCCCTGCTATATCCTGCCGTGTCTCAGGGCAGGGCAGGGCGTGGTTATAAATTGAACTGAAATATTGAAAAAGGTAAAGACTAAATGAAAATGTTGTAACCGCTGAAAAGTAAAGTACTCGTATTTTATTTATCTATATTCGAGAAAATATAGATATGCGCTNATTTTACTGTCGACATTTTTACGGTCGACATTTTTACTGTCGACCAAAGTGCAGAGATTCGGCGCATGAATCGTAGTGAAGATTTCTATAAGAAATTACGCGTACTGTGATGCAGATCAACGTAACTGCGTCCTAGTGGTCGCATCTACGATCTCTTGTAGGTATAAATGGTCAATTATAAATTATTCCTCCTTATTCGTAATTGGCTACACTCGTACAATAAAACATAGTCACAGAAAATCAGTATAAATAGTAGTGCTCGTCACATTTTCTTTCATAAGTCATTCTACTATAAGCAGTAGAATACATAGTTTTTATTTTCTTAAATTTTTCTAGATTTAAATCCTTTTAGTTTTTCAATTCTTTGAAATTAATTTTTTTTCTTCTATTATTAAATTTTAAAAAATTGTTTTAGATATAAATATTTTTATTTTTCTAGATATATATTTTTTACTTTCCTTAATTTTTAAAATTAAAATTTTTTTTAACTTTCAACTTAGTAAATTTTGAAATTATTTTAGGTTTTAATTTTTCAGTTATTTTTTATTGTGAAAATTTTTAATTTAAAAATTGTTTTTTTATTTTTTATAAAAATTTTAATTTTGCAGTTTTAAGTTTTTTATTTTGTGCAAAAATATTTTTAATTCACAATAAAAGTAAAAATAAAATGAAAATCTAATCTGTGTCATCTTTTGTACTAATTGCGACGAGACTGAGCCATAATTACGAAAAACTTGGACACCGTTATGCGTAACTGGGAGTTTTTCACCGTAACTACCCGTAATTGCGATTTTTTCATCGTAGTTACGCGTAGTTACGTCGCAATTTTCCGCAATTACGGGTCACAGTGCGATCGCAGTTACGCCGTAACTGCGCCACAGTTTCATCGTAATGAAACACATGGGCCAACATTGTCTCTCCTTCTTTTCTTTCCTTTCATTTCCTTTCTTTTTTTCCTTTCTTCCAACCACAGAATGGAACAACAAAAAGAGTCAATAATGAAACGAGATATATCTTTCATTTTCTTTCTTTTTACTATCACATTTCATCTTTACTGCTACCGTTTGGTCGTTGCGTATATGACTACTACTGCATTGATTGCCAAGCAGTATATAGAGTGGCTGTGGCAATCTAATGCGCTTCCGTTCTGTCTTGCAGAACCTGCTGAATGGCAAAAATACACCGATGTAGAAACTGAAATCATCGAAGAAGCATTCCAACAAGGCTTGCCAGAAGCTCTTCTCGACGACTATCATATCGTTTTTGCACGTTCTATGCAAATCTCTAATAATGACGAAAAGAAACAACGGCCAGTGAAACGTGTAGTTGATCGTAACAAGGATGAACGAGAGAAACGAGTAAGAGCGGAACGTTTCTTGGAAGATTCAATTTTACCTTCGAACAGTTTCATAAACTGGCAAATTGAACCAACAACTCCTGATTTTGTTCAAGAAGCTTGTTCTCATTACGGCGTTCGTTGGGAGAAAGGTATCACTTGTCAGTCAGTGCTTGAGATGTGGATAGAAAAGGCAGCGGAAGGATTTATAATCGAGGCGAAAAAGGTGGGGAAGCAACGAGAAGGTGAATGGATGGCCAAACGGCTTCTCGAACAGAAAAATGGAAGCAAACAACAGGTAGAACAATTATGTGTGAAGCTCTATTGTATGGGCTCTTTCTTGTATCGTAAATTAAATGAGACGATGCGTTTGCAAGGCGATTTCGCTTTCGAAACTCTATGGAAAAGCAGAGTTCCCACATTGGGTCCATTTGCTGTACTATTGAATTCAGCTATGAATTTTACTCCCACTAATATGATAGTATATCGAGGAGCAACGATGACTAACGAACAAATTGAACAATTTCGACTATGCGTTGTCTCTGAAAGAAAAATTCAATTACCGGCGTTTACCTCAACGACTCTTAATCCGAGCGTGGCCGAATTCTTTGGCAGCAACGTTCTTTTTGTCATTGACCTCGAAAAAGATACCGGCTCTCTGGATATGTCTCCATATTCAAATTATCCGGATGAACAAGAACTTTTGATTTTCGATGGTTTTCCTGCTAAGGTAACATCGTGCCACTTCGATGAAATCGCAAACAAATGGATAATTAAACTCTGGGGTTTACGCTGCTCAGATCTCTAATACAAGAATCAATAAGAGACGTCAAGTATCATAAGGGTGTGTGGGTGTGGGTGTAGGCTGAGTTAAAGATAGCACACCCACACCCACACCCTTAATGTAACACGTAATCAAACACAGCCAAAAGAAAACCAGCAAAACAAATAAGATCAAACCACCTATTGAATGTTGAATTTAAAAAAATTGTAATAGTAATTGGAAATCTAAAAACATAAACAATCATCTAAATTAAAACAGAAAAACTATTTTACAAATTGAACCCAGGAGAATGTATCCTAGCCTAGGATCCGATGAGTTCCGATCGGTTCCTATTGGAATCCGACGGAGCTCTTCGGAAGGCGCAAGGAAACTATCGGATTATTGTCGGATTCCTGGTTCCGGAATCGATATCGGATCCTAGTATCGGAAACTGATAAAATCCGACATCAACCGTCAATCGGAACCGGAATGCTTCGGATTTCATTGGTTCCGACAATCGGATATGATTGGAAATACGAGTGTCGGATCCGACATTGATTCACCTGGGAATTAGAAAAAAAATAAACTTACGAGTAGTATAAGATCGATTCAGGGTGTGGGTGTGGGTGTTTGTATTAAATGATAAGCAACTCACACCCATACCTCGACTCTCACACACACACTTTTTCGTGCTTTACTAACTCTGTTAATTTTTGTATTTATGATTTTGACAAAAAAAAAAAATTGGTTGTTATTATTGCTACTTCTGTAAAGCTTTATAGATTTATAGCATATAAATGGGAATTTTTTATTTCGTGCTCAAAGTATCCATGTACAACTCACTCGTGTGTATCATCAAGTGCGCAACTTTCACGGTGCGCATCATTCGTAGATCGCTTCTGTGTGAAGAGATAGGTTGGTCTGGTTTTACTTGAAGCATATTACAAAAATATATAAGAAATGAATGATAACAAGATAAATTTAATTCAAAGTTTGTTATTCCAACGGTAATGCATGCCCTTGTCTAAAACAAAGTCTTTTTTCTTCGTTCCACTCATAATCAAAATCCATGAGTTCTAATTCTTTAATACTATCGATCACTTCTTGGCAATTTTTGACAGCTTGTTGACAAAGTTTTGAATGCGCCTCTCGATGTCTCTCACTTGATAATGCATTCATTAGAGCACTTAAGCTATTTCCAACATCAACCAAACCCTGTTTCGATTTCACCATACTTCTTTCTAGAGTCTCAGTATCTAACGATAGTTCATTAACTTGCTCCAATAATTTATTTAACCAATCGAAAATCTTCTTTTGTTCTTTTAAGTATGAGTTTTTCATCCATCGGAGAATTGCTATTGTTAAACCTCCAACAGCAACTGCACCACCTACCAAACACACCATAGCTACTGCTACCGGCGGAAAAGAAACGCCAGCAATAACAACAGCACCTACCGCACCTGCTATCGGAAGGCCAATTAATCCGCCACCAACACCACCACCAACAGCGGCTCCAGCTACACCTCCTCCAGCGATGTGCCGTATATGCGTTTTCCAAAACCGCAGACGCTTACTCACTCGCTGTTGTACTGGTTGAACCTGCTGATATTGAAAACTGTTTACATTCTCTTTCAATACTTGGCATTCTTTAATATGAGTAGTTGCTTCACCAATAATATCCTGAAAAGTTTCTTTCAATGTGCTTACTGATAGTAGCATGTCATGACGATCTTCTGTTGAAAGTAACTTCAATGGTTGGGCGCTTGTCGACATCGTTCGAGTTTCGGGATATAATACATCAATTATAACATTTAATTCACCCTTCGCCAATTCTAAAGTAGTTAATTTTGAACAAAGGTCATTTTTACATTTTTTAATTAAATTAAACAAAATTTCAATCAGTGATCGGAACGTACAATCCATTTTCACATATTCCTCTCGATCTTTTTTAATTTCTTGGATTATTTCTTTGCCAATAAGTAATATTTCTCGAAGTCTTTTAATACGATTGACAACAGATTTTGAAGAATAATTTATTGAACCGGCAATTAATTGAATTAACAATTGTGTTTCACGATCATTTTCAAGTTCAGTACCCTTTATACTATTTTGTAATGTATCAATTGCGGCTTGTGTCACATCATCAAGAGAAAAGTAATCTATTAGTTGTGATCCATCATCGCTGAGACTAATATCTACAAAGCTATCATCAATTCTTTTCAATTGCACTTCCTCTGTTATTTGTGAATATGCCATTCCTACATAAGTTTTATTACGTTAAAGATTTCTGTAGTTAAAATGAAGCGATGTGTCTTTTATATATCCGTTAAAACTTTCGCTTAACCATATTTTTCTTTTTCTAGTTGGAAACTTTCGTTTTCATATGCTGCTTGAATATCATTTAGGTTCTTGGTTTTTTCCTGTAATAAGAAACAATAGTCAACCTCTTCCTAGCTAGAGGCAAATAAACCATCGTAAATTTAAAGTTAAAATGAATTTTTGCTACGAAAAACGTAACATGTGCCATTGTAAATCAACAGCGAGTCGAAAAAGAAGATGCGATAAGGGTGAAGATGCATATATGGGTTGGTGTGCAGTGTAGTATTCGTTTGTCGACTGAGTCAAACTCATAACTATCTTTACCTTCACATACACACACAAACCTTCAATATACCCATATCTACGTATTTGAGACAGTGAAGGTACCTATTGAGTACTACCATTACAATTTATTTTCACTTTTTTCATAAATTTATTTCCTACATGAATAAATTTGGTTTGAATGCCGTAGATATACCAACGAGATGCCAGCGAGGAGGAAACAACGGACTCCAATCCCTTGCAGTCCTAAAAAATGAAATATTACATTTTTTTATCTCTATCTATTACCAGTTGAGTACATATTAATTAATTGTGTACTTACTAGACCTCAGCCTAGTACTCAACTTCTAATACATGGTGAAGAAAATATACAACTTTCTATTGAACTTCAGAAATATTTGGAGCCCTATGAAGTTCAATGGGTCTCTTGGGAATCCCCGCGGGTGTGGGTGTGGGTGTTCAAGGCGCATATATGCTTTTCTCTAGCGTGAGGTTATCTTAGCATAAGAAGAAAATCTTATAGCGTTTAATCTCTCATTGGAGATGATAGCAACGCTGCCTTTATTCCCATAAAAGTTTCATGCTAAATATATTATACTGATATCAAATTTATTTAACCGATTCATTTTCTATTCAAAAATACGGCGACGGGCAAATTGCGGTTCAAAATATTGTTAAACTGTTTTTGAAAGTAAAACCGTTTAATTGATTGCCTCAGCTCGCGTTGATTTTGTTCATGTGAATCTACTTTCGTATCCTATATTGTAAGTAGACTTGAAAGGCAAGCATTATTTTACCAGTTTCAAAATGGAGAATTTCCAGAATGATCCAAGTCTTTAGAATAGCGAAAACTAAAACGGTCCTATGTGAGAAATTCATGAACAATAGCTACGATTACATCAATGCGCATATCGATCTACTTATTTCAATAACGTAATTTAAGACAAAGAAAAAGAAAACTATTTGCGCCACTTATCTACAATAATGAAATTTCTTTCATTTAACAAACAGCTACTCGATCTTTCCTTTTTATCAGCATCATGTCAAGACTATCGTAATCAATGGGATTTAAAAGTAAAACTTGTTGAAATTAGAACAATTCTTTTTTCAATAGAACTGCTGTAGATGTATTTGTAAAATTAAAAACCACTAATCTACTGCGACTACCATTAAACCAAATTCAAAAAGAGATCACTATTGATCCAAGTCAGTACATAATTTGAATGGAACAGAAATCTTATAATTTAGATTGAGTAGATGAATTTCAAAATGCGGATGTCACATTGATATGCTACAAAATTCATTTGACCACTAACAATAAAGAAGTTTTTGCTTATCTATTTAAAAATGTCAATCCAACTGGTATTTGGTATGATAGAAACATTCGCGATGGCGATCGTTTAATTACTTTAAATGGACACGATGTAACACATTTATCATACGAAAATATTTATTCATCAATAATGGAAAGTAAACTGTCATTGACATGTAAAGTAGTTTGGCATCCAGAGTTATTCATTGATTTGGGTAAGAATTAATGAAAAGAAACAAAAAAATAGCAAGCATTTCTATAACAAATAGAAACATCGATAAATGAAGATGATTCCATCATGTCTCCAACATCGAAAATTCAATCAGATGCGTTAAAAGAATTTTCTGATTCTAAAACTTTAATGGGTGTTAATATCCATAAACAATTAACAGACATACTTCATTATCTTTTTAATTTTCATCCACAAGAACCATATCAATTATTTGAACGTCTAGTTGCAAACACATCATTTGAAAAGGGCACTGAATTAACAATGGATAATATAAAAGAATCCAATTTATTTATTCAAAGGCAACTGCAGCTACTTTCAGTATCAATAATAGAATGATTTCTCTTATATTTTTAGTTCCGTTTATATTTTTTTCTTTAGAATCCTTCAACTATTCAAACTAATCCCGAAGAAACAATGACAAATATTTTAGAACTAGACTTCCTATTCGAACAAGTTGGTGTTGGTTTGAATAAAGATGAAATTTATTGGTATAAAAATATCTTCTAATTTTAATGACATTTTTTTATCGAAATTTCCGCTTGTGAAGGATATGGGTTTTAATGAAAGCATTATTAAACGACAAACCTAATATTCAAAAATTACGCTTTTGGGGCAAGATTTTCGGTATAAAAAATAATTATTATATTGTCGAAGCTGATTTTGATACATTTGATGATGTCGATCTAACTGATTCGGAATTTATTAAATATCAAGACATGTCTTCATCTGAAGAAGAGAAAATACCACCGGAACCAATTGGTGATGGTGTTAATCAAAAAGTCTTTTATGTTTCTACAGGAAGTAAGACAAATCCTGAACAACATTCTATTTTTTCTAAACACCCATTTAGTTGATCAAACTTTTATACAATTACCTATGGTAACACCACAACAAATTGAATTATCGCGTAGAATTCAACAATTTTTCACCGGTGACCTTGACGCACCTATTCTATTCGAATTGCATTTTCCAGGTGTTGAAAAACATTTATTACGCGCTCAAATTCAACGAATTACTGCTGGTACTCAGATAGGACCAAAACATTATTTTAAAATTTCAATCGATGACGAAGAAGAGATCGATGAAGAAATAATAGATTGTATGATAGATAGAATAGAGTGACATTCTCCAATTGTTTTTTTATTATTATTTCAGCACATCAAATAAAATTCGATATCAATACTGAATTCGAAGGAAATCGACTTGAAGATCTTGTTTTACCTCATGGTCAATATTGGGTTCATTGTAGGAACGAAAAAAAAAACAATTTTCTTAACAAAAATATTTTTTTGCTTAGATGTTGCATATATTTATGAACAAGGTCGTAATGTACATTTTAATCGTAAGTTTACAAATTTTTTATATCTAAAAAATTTAATGAAAGTCATCGATACTAAACAGCTGCAATACGAACAATTCCTGCTGAACACAGTCCCAATTTATTATCGCCTGTGAACGAAGATAGTGCTGTTCACGGTTTATATCCTGCATGGTCTATTGGGCTGGCTTCTAGGCTTGTTCCTGAACATAGTTTAGTTTATGCTCGATCAAATCGTTGGCCAGGTTTGTATTTTTCATATGGAAATTATATAGTCGAGTGACGTCTTTTTCAGTCTGAAGGAAATGAAAAATTTGCTATATCTAAGGAAATTTTATCATAATGTACTTTAGATAATTATCGTACTAAAACTTTTGCCCACACGCCTGGATACACACGGTTAGATTCTAAAATTGTGAAGTTTTCCCCGTGAGAATGATGAATTCGATAGTTTTAATTCAAGGCATTAGCTACGTTGTTGTTGTTTTTTATTATTTTTCAAGGTGCTTTTACTGTTGGTGACCGCCATCGTTTTAAAAATATTTATATTGGATGGGGTGTAAAAAATTTTCTTGAAAGTCATCAAGCAAATATGATTAATATATTACCAGAAAAAGAATATGATTTACAAGTGATAGAAACGAATGATCCAACAATAGAAGAAGAAGACAATGAACTATTTAAATCAGCTGTACTTTTATCGCCACATGAAGATGAAGAATTTGAATAGATTAGAACATCAATTTTTAGAAGTTAAAATATGATTAGTAATAAACTAGACGTTAGAATAAGTAGAGCAGTGCTTATCGATGCTGCACGAGTACTGACGTCTGTATTATATGGTACGCGGTCCCAATCGATATCAAAACTTTTCGGATCACTTGTATTGACATTGACTTGAAACGCAGCTTGATTGTCTCCAACTTCACTATTGAAATCTCTATTAATTGCTAATTGCGATTCTTCATCATTTACTACGCTACTAGTTGTTATTGTTTGTGTAGATGTTTGAATAAGAGGAAATGATGAATTTCTCTTGTGTGATTTACGTGGAGTGACTAGATGAAAGTTGAACAGAACAAACAAATTTAATGCTTAAATGATTACTTTTTTATTCTTGTTTCTTACTTAAATCTGAATTACACAAATTTGAACGACAGCATGTTTCGATACGAATGCGGCTATCAAGTGCGAAATCAGTTGGAGTACAATGTCGACTAGCACATGTTCGATACGGTTGATTATCAATAAAACCAGCCTGTTTTGAAAATAAAATAAGAACTTTTGTGTATGATTTTCAACAATAATTTTTACCCAACATAATTGTGTTTTTTTATTGCAAACAATTTTCTCTGCATCATCATTATTATCGTAAACTGTTTTTTCACAGCCACTACCTTTACATGAATAACACCATAGATTATCATGATCCTTTAAATTCAATAGAGAATCCCATCCGAACGAATACACGACGCATATCACTGATAAGAAGAACAATTGAAACAAATGAGGTAGCATTATTATGGCCACTACAATCAATGATTGAGTAAATGAACTTTTTCAGTTATTTTTCTTTCCTTTCGTCACGTCGGTAATAACGAACTGTAATATAACGCACCGCAATCAACAAATAAATATGTTCCTTCACGAAGCAAAACTCGTTGGACCGTGCAGAACAAAGTCTGCCGCTATTTGTTTGAGTCGTATCCTCAAGGTGAAATACTGATGTGAAGAAAAAATAGATTAAATTTTGTCATTGCTTTAATTTTTCGTTCATGATATAACAACCTGTTTCTAATTGAAATTTCCATTAGGAATGCAGCGATAACAAGTACAATCTTTTCGAGCCATAGAATGGTGTTCGTTTTGTTCAAATCAATATTAATCAGTCTTACAACATATAGGGTATAAACAAAATCAAGATCTTAAAAATTTTCATTCTAGCATATCTCATTTGTGTTAGTTATCTTCAGTATAGAAATAAAACAGATCTTAATGAAATTCTATATAAAAACGAGAGAATGGGACAAGAAGAAAGAAGTATATATGATAAATAACACATCCATCAATCATCATCAAAATGAGGAAAAGCAATACAGACAGAAACAAATAAAAAGAAAGCGAAGCAATGCAAGTTAAATAAAAAAAGACGTAATAGACGTATATGTGTAAATGAGTGTTATGCCGCATTATCGATAAGAAAAAAATTATGGTCGCCAAAGACCTGATTGACGAACAGCTTGTTGAAGAAGTGCTTGTGCACGACTAATCTGTTCTGGTGTGCCTTCAATTGTTATTATTCTATCACTGCCACCCCCACTGCCACTAGGAATAGCTTGATCATCGATAATGATATTTGCACTTGTTGTTTGACGTATGTGTTGAATTTTTGCACCACGCGGTCCGATGACAGCTCCAACGAGTTCATTCGGTAACGTTACCTATGAAATTAACAAAACTAGACCAGTTAAGCGATGAAAAAAACAACAACAACTAAACTTACACGTGTCGAAGTGAACACAGCGGTATTGGAGTAGCGAGTGCCTAAACCAGGTCCACCACCATAGGATACATCAACAAGAGGAGGTAAAGGTTGAATAGGATACATACCGCCACGCGATCCATTCTGTGGATAAGAGCCTCGTGGGTTGTATCCAGAACGAACGTCGACGCCACCTGGAGCTTGAAAGCCGCCTTAAAATAGAAGCAGAAGAAAAGTATATATATATATATATGATTTGATCAAATGATTCCTACCATAGTCATTCACAGCATAAATATCAAAATTATGAGGATCGTATTGAATTAGGGGAGAACCTCTTGGTTGTTGTGATGATGTGACCATTAAATTGTAGATATTCTAAGGAAAATTATAAACGCTAATTTATTAAAAATCTCTTTGGTCTTTTTTTTCTTCTCGTATACTAACTTTAATACATTCAATAATATCTTCAGGTTTTCCACGTAATGAAATAACTCTTTCATGACTTAAGGGACAACATTGTGAGAATACTTTAATATCAAGAGTGTATGTTTGTCGTAATTCTTTAACATGTTGTCCGCCTTTACCAATAATAGCTCCACAATAAATTTGATGAACAAGCATTCGAATTTCTGATGCTGTCTGTTCATTTTGATCGTTATTAGTTGATTGCACTTGATCAGAATTTGTATTGCGTCTTCGATTGAATGATGAAAGACGAGAACTATCAATTAAACATGGAATGATCTGACCTAAAGCATCAAAACATTGTTCTTGTTCGCCACTTATGATTAATACACGTTCAGGTGATGCACAATCGGGTACTTGAATTGTTGTACGTGGATGGTCAGCACGAAGTTTTTGTATTGATAAACCACCTTTACCTGAAAAAGAAAGAAAATCTTCTATTAAAATCATAAATCAATCACATCGATACAAACCAATGACTGCTCCAGCATCACGAGAAGTCATTAATAAACGAACTTCAATACCGGATCCAGATGAGTAAGGATTATTACTATTGCTATTCATGCGACGATTATAATTGCTTTGCTGATTAGTTAGATTATTATTATTATTATTATTATTATTATTCGATGGTTGACCATATTCATCATCGGATGATGTCATCGTTGTCTATTACAGTGGAAATAGGGAAGATTGGATCGGGATAGGCACAGTGACCTTACTGATAAATTATTTAGAAGATCCAACAAGTCTTGAATAAAAGAACAAAAGAAAACAGATGATATTCAATATCCAACTTTTTTTTTGGATATAAGAAGAAAAAAATATACGTAAAGATTGACGATATTTGAAATACAAATAAACATGAACTATTGTAACACATTAATGCAGTTTTTATGCTGTTCATATGTTTGTTGATCTATGGTGTACGCCATTGAAAATAGTACATAAGAGAGGGCGCCACCATCTGGTTTCATCAGTTTATTTTGACAACTCGTAATACGAGACTAGAATATGTTGGTTGTGTATATTCGAGTATCGTCCTATTTAACATTTGGATCTATTCAAAATGTTCGATTTATGATTACACTAGTCTAGAATCATTCAACTGAACTTTCACAGTAAAATTATTCATTATAAAATATTATATTTTTATTCTATCCCTCTCTTTCTTTGGACGCGATTTTGTCACTATTCATGCATGACCATTGCACATATAAAGTATTCTTCACTTCTTTCATGAACGATACACTTACGTGATTTTTTAGTCTCTCAACATTATTTCATGTTAGAAAACAGGTGCAAATACAACAAGTAAAAAACAATAATTTGTAATTTGAAGACTTTATTTCACAGACATTCTTTCACTTGATTTTTAGAATGAAGATTCGAACTGTGATATACTTTTGTTTGATATTCACTTCATTATGGATTGTTTCCCGTGTGTTTACAGATAATCCTAGTCCAAGTCCAGTGTACGTCGATAATGATCGTCATATTGAAATAAAGCGAGATATTGAGAGTGCATCATGTGATATTTCGATGGATTCATACAAAAAATGTTATAAGTATACTACTGACTTACTACCTTACGAGAGCGTCTCAATTGGAATTGAAACTGTTCTTTTTCTCAAGAAACAACTAAGTACTGTTAATGAAACATTAGTGAATGCTTCACTTTATTGGAATCCAGATGATCGTTTTAAACCCTTTAAGAATTTTATCGCAAGCACAAATAAATGTGAAGTACTATATTGTGGAGCCAATGACGCTGGTACCGATGGTTTAGAATTTATTAATCGATACGAAAATTGTCAAGTTTGGTTTTTAGAGCCAGTAGCACAATTCTACGATAAATTAATTCATTCGCAGGCCATACTTGAAAAATTACAAACAGGCAAACATCATTTCTATCAGATTGGTGTATCGAATAAAAATGATCTTATTGATGTAACATTACAAGATATTAAAGAAGCACAAGCTGTGACTTTAATTGGAAAACAACAAAGTAAAGAAAATCCAATGAATGAAATGAAATACAAGTTAATTCTGAGAGATGCTGCAGAAATACTATTCGAATTTCATATACTATCAAAGACGATAAATCAAACTGTTATTGGAGAATTAAATTTAATACATTTAAATTGTGAAGGTTGCGAATATGATGTCATAGAACGATTAATCAAAACAAATTTAATTCAATATATTCGAATTGTGCAATTTGGTTCACATCGACCTTCAGCTATTCGATCATTTGTTAATCAAAGATATTGCTGTTTACAACAAATGTTGTCAGCGACACATCAATTAGAATTCGGTATACCATGGGCATGGGAACGATGGTTAAGAAAAGATCTTCTAGAGAAAAATAACTAAACGATTCATAAGACTCAAATAAAAATTGTGGGTATAACTTCAACACACATATGCACACCCAAATTATTTATCTAGGTAATTTGATCGCAATAAATAAAAAAAAGGTTTTTTTTTCTTTTTGGTAGCAATTTTTATGGTCAGGTACTTATTTACCATATTAAATACATTCAATTAAATGCGCAGCATGATGTTCATTGATTTCAAACATTAGCCATGAAACAGAGAAATATGTTGATTGCATTTTAGGGTTTTAGAAAGCAAAATCAGGTAGTCATAGTAAGATTTGAATTATCGCAAGCTATTTGTATTTCGATCAAGAAGACATTCGAACTGTTATTTCATGCTGTTATTTTTTAAAGAAAATTATGAGCGTGCTGATCGGTGACGTCACCGATGGTTTCTCTCGAAAAAAATCGCTACAAAATTTTCAGATCATGTAGAACGCAACTCAATAGCGCTTATATGAAAATGTATTTAAATAAGGTTTATGTATGATTCAACATTTTCTATTTTACACTTAGAATTTTTTTGTTTGATTATAAATATCGCGCATATTCATTCTACTGATTAAATTATGTTATCAAACCCTACACACTAAGTAAAAATGTGTCGGATGTGTCGTAAACTACGACACAAATCACGACACATTCGAGTACGACATGAGGTGCTCGTTGCGACACATTCTGTCCAGCAAGACCACGACGCATTTTTCACGACACATCCGACACATTTTCATTGGTTGTTTTTGAAACGCATATTTCGATATTTTTTAATTAAATTACATATATCTCTTTATTTTTTGAAAAGTCAATCTGATCAGATCCTAAGATCTGGCTGATTTGGAATTGGTCCGATTCCTATCAGACTATCCAGTGTAGTCCTTCCCGGATCATGGATCGGGATGGCAATTCCTTGATTATAAAGTAATCAAGAATTAAATTCAAAGAAAATTTTATTTCGAGAGCTTATCTTCCATGCGTTCAACGATGTTGCTTATATGTCGCTGTATGTTCATAACAAAACGGTGAACGACTAGTCGACTGACAGAACGCGAAAAATATACGACACATTTTTTTCATTCTAAGTGCGACACAAAAATTTACGACACATTTTTGTAATGGAGAGCACAACACAAAAATTCACGACACATACAGCCGACGCATTTTTATTTAGTGTGTAGTGAACATAAAAATAATCCGATTTAGTTTAGATGATGGAATTAAACAAAGATTATATCGATCAACTATGCAGTAGCAGAACATAAATTGATTGTCTATTAACAAGACTATATAATCATTATTCATCAATATAATTTATTTGAAGATATATTTCATTGAATTTTGATTCAATTAGCAACAAGTAGAAGAGCACAACATATTTATAATGATTCTATAAAGGTCAATAGTTATTTCATTGATGTCTAAAACTTATTGAATTCTCATTAAGGTACCTTTATTTCCCTAACATGATATTTATGACTTTGCTATAAACAGTGTTTGTTTCTTCTTTTTCTATTTATTTCAAACAATTTAAGTAACAAGAAAAAAGAAAACAAAAGAACATCATGTAAGACAAAAAAGATGACAAACATGAAAAAAAAGGACGTGTCTAATCTAGTTGATATTTACCAGTTTTTTTATTTCATCGATATAATAATCCAATGAAATAACACATTGAAGCAGTTGTTGTCGTAACTTCTCCATTTGTATTAATAGTTGAGAATTCGTATTCTATATCCAGGTTGATCAAAACGGATTCGTTTACTGTTTGTTTATCGACGGTAAGCGATGTCAAAGCGGTATATTTACGGCTGTTTGTACTCCGTACTCTCATGATAATACGATCCGTATTACTGCGCCAGATATTACGGCAAACTTTCGCCCGTAAAGTAGTCCTAAAGCAACCGTCAACGACCGTGTACGGACCTTACTGCTCGGTCTGGGTATATATAAAAATTAATCAAAAATAAACATGTATATCTGTATCTTTTAATTACTTCTTTTTCAGACATTATTTAATTCTTGAGAATAACCTTATGAACTACTTAATAATAACAATATGAATGATAAAAAAAGGCTGAGAACATATATATATGTATAGCGTTGATAGTCGATGCTCATGCTCTTCTGTCTTTGTCTTGACGACTAACGAGGAAAAACAATAGCCATTGTTTATATTGGCTATTCTTTTATGTATTAATTAATACCTATTTCTAACGGACGTAACTATGTACACTCAGGTACTCATATACGGCGGTGAGAGTATTACTTTTAGTACGGGCACAAAGGTAAAGTGGGGAATTCAAGTTAAAGCATATAGCAAAAACATGTATTGATTTGATAAATTGTAAACATTTCGTATAATAGGACCGGAAATATAATATGACCTTAGTCTATCTCGATTTCTATTCATTCAATTCGAATAACTAAACACTGACTTTAAAAATTTATCATTTTGCATAAAATTTAAATATCTATTAATAGAATTCTTACCTTATGATTATTCGTTATTTGTGCTGTTGTTTTGGTTTTACCAATGCGTGATAAACGTTGATTATTATTATTATTAACATCTTGGAAACTATGAGTTATTACTTCATCATCATTATCTTTATCATTTATAACTTTCGGATATTGTGATGATTTTGATACAGTAAGTTTATCTGGGCGGTTTGGTATCGTTTTTTGTGTGTTAATAGAATAATCTACATTCATATTTTCCAGTGTTACATCATTAACAGCTGTCAAACAATTGCCAGGAGGAATACTTCCATCTAATTGTGCAACATCACCAGGTACTAATTGACGTTCTACAATAAGAGGCGAACTACTTGGATTATATGGATCTTGATAATCATGTAAAGAAACTCCTAAATCATGATAAACTTTCTTTAATTCAATATTTAATGTAGAATTCGACCATAGAGCTAAATTTGAAAAGGCTTCTAATGAGCGTGTTCTAGTTGTTTGAGATAAAGTTGTATCTGTTGAATGTAATGTTACCATACATTTAGCTTTATGAACAATTCCAGTTGATTTATCAAATGATGTTGAATGACTTCTTTTTCGATTTGTTTTTCCATTTATTTCAATAAGTTATTGAATTTTACGACGAGCACATACAAGTTTTATTTCATGTTTAAATAATTTAAGAATTTCAATAACATACATATGATTTTTTCCATATAAAACTTGAGTATTAATCTGAAAAGAGGAAAAAAAATTTAAAAAACCGAATAAATACTTTTTACTTCAAGAAGTTCATCGCCAGGCTTTAACGTTCCTTCTCTGCCAATAACTCCATCAGGCAATATAGTTCTTATATAATGATGTGTATCCGTTTCTTTACCATTTTCAGTATCAATTGTACCTTCTAGTGCTAAACCAAGTGTATCATTATCAGGTTTATAAATATCACTAATATAAATTTCGTAATTATTTCCTAAAATTTGAATCCATTTTTGACTTATTCGTTCATTTGTATTCGATTGATGTTGATATTGAAATATTCCTTCAGTTTGACGTGGAGATTCCATTCTAAAAAAGAAATAATAAATTCTTATTTGTAAAAAAACAAAAAACCTTATTAACAAATCATTTCTTCAATTTTTTTCATGTTTAGTACTATTAGGACGAATCGTGGCTTATTTTCATATAAATGAATAACGATAACATAAACTAAGGAAACAACAATAACAATCGAGATGAACTGAAAGAACGAAAAAACAAACGCATAGTCTGTTCACACTTTGAGATAAATGTATCTTTCATATATTTATTTTTAATTAAAAAACAATATCAAAGTTAGAAAATTTTTCATGATTTTCTAGAACGCATTCGGCCGTAGGAAGTGAACCAAAATGGTTTGTGATCATAGTGAAGCTAGCCAAACAGGACGATTTATTCGGAATAAGGCAATGATTTTATTGGATGATGTGATGATCAATAGATAGCGAAATATTCTTAAATTATCTATCAGTAAAGAGGAATACAGGGCAAAAACATTTTGGATATGGCTGTCTCAGTGATAGTAGTGAAAATGCATTAAATACGATACTATAATGATTATCTTTATACTAAGAAGTAAAAACTATGGATCAAATATGCATCACTTTATTATTAATAAAAAAAAAGATGGAATAAAACAAAATTGAGTAATTAGATAAGAAGAAATGAAAGCATAACGAAAACGAAAGTTGATCAATTATGGTAATTCTATTGCAATAGAATTTTCTCGGAAAAACATAGTTTTTCTTGAATTTCATAAATTTTTTACCGATAACTTGACCCGCCAATGTATTTCCTAATTTGACTTCATACAATCAAAGCATAAGTATAATATCTGGTAGACATTTATAAATAAAATCATGTACAACTCCATAATTGGGTGTGGGTGTGGGTGTGATGATTATTGATTAAGAGCAACACCCACACCCTCATGTTTCAAATATTTCAGTATTTATAGATTACGATTGAATTTATTTTATGATTTCTGAGGGCAACTCAAATATTACATTTCGATTACCAATTTTTATCGTTTTTTATTTAGAAATAGAAATTTCTCTAAATATGGCAGGTAGAGATTTTTATGTTTATTTTGTTCCGTAATATTTTGTTTTTCATCAAGATTCATGAAATGATTTATAATATGTTGATTTTATTTTGCTTAATTGTATGAATTCTTGGGTGTGGGTGTGAGAGCTTGCTTTAGCACCCTACACACGCTCAAGGGCGAAATCCCGATAATGGCTGCTGGACGTAAACACACTCACATACCCACAGTTTTTCTAGTTTTTACCTTCACAAGAGCTCGTCGAGTGATTTCTTCTTTCAAGGTGAGCTCTTCGTTTTTTGTCTTGTCTGAAAGAGACTAAGAGTCTTCGTTCCTGTGACAAACTGCACTGAATAAAAAAAAGGTGCCAAACGGAACCTTCGAGGTTTCGTAGAGCTGTACTATACTATTTTAGTTTCCATGGATTTATACGAAATATTTACAAGGTTCTGTAAAATGCAAGGTTTTGTAATATACTTTTAAAAGTTTCGAAATTTAAAAAGGTTTCATTTTTTAACTATTTCGAATTTGTGATTTACAATAAGTTTTGTCATAAACCTTTTTGAGTTTCGAATTCAAAAAGGTTTGGTAAATAGCTCGCGAAGAGAAGGTGTGGGTATGGATGTTGGTAAGTCAGGATTATGAATCTGCTGTACTTAGTCACGCAAAAGAGCACACCCACACCCGGGGTGGAAAGTAATTCAGCCGTTGTTTTATATTCTGCTGTTAAAAAAGATAAAGAAATGTTTTGTTGTTGAAATAGAAAAATAAAATAACGTTAATCATGCAGGGAAATCAATTTCACCTCGTCGAAAATCAAATGCACTTTTTCTGAAGGATGCCTGATTTACCATAGAATCCTTATAACGGCAATCACGTAGTATGGAAATCAGGATTGAGCTGCTGCTTCGATTGTCAATAGACTTTCTTTGTCATGAATTACATTGCATTTTTGACGGGTGGAAATTAATTCAGTCGTTGCTTAATATTCTGTTATTGACAAAGAGAGAAATGTATAGTTGTTGAAGTAGACAAACAGAATAACGTTGATCATGCAGAAAAGTCAATTTCATCTCATCGAAAACCCAATGCAATTTTATCGAAAGAAGGCTGATTTATCCTAGAATCCTTATAACTACGCTCTGCCTGTATAAAAAATTCAATTTTTTTTACTTTTATCGCCGTTGATTCAATTGCTTTGATTTCAGAAAGGATAGCACGGTGCACAAGCGATACATTTAGATTAGGGGTGCCAATTTACCGTTTAGTTAATTTAAATTTAACTTTGTGAAAATTTAATTTAATTTAATTTAAATTAAGTTTTTAGACTGAAAAATTATTTAAATTTAAATTTAAAATTTAATAAATTGTTTGCATGGATACACGTCACTGCTATGAGGAAAATATGTGACTTAAACAGTAGTAAATATTAAATGAGAGGAGAACCTAGTATTTCAGGTTAATATCTGTTCATAATAGCCAAAATTTCTCTACAGATTATGCAGGATCCGTCGTCTTTCTTCTTCAAAATACCGGGATACTCATAAAAATATATTTAATAGCACAATTCGTAGAAGAATGACTAGCTTTA